GCGTTATACTCCTGCGCTATGTCTAAATAATTTCCCGGTGAATTAATGTTAATAGAGTGCACGACGCGCACTCACATTCCAACGAGGAAAGGGAAGGGAGAGCCGGTGCAGAATGCCACAATTCGCCATTCCATTTCATCTTTCTTTTAAGATGTGCAGCAGCGTCTAGGAACAGCAGTGCACAGGCATCCATTCTGATTGTGAACATGTATGTGCTGCTGAACACGACTCTCCCCTTCGTAGGTGCACAGTGGTGGCTTGGATCAGTCTGTACAGCAGCTTTGACCGGCTCCTCTGCATGTGTATCAATAACATTCGCTGCAAGAAAGAAGAAAGACTCGTTGCAGTGCCCGCTCTTTGGTGATGTAAGCAGAGCAACTGCATGCTGTTGCTTTGCATCATATGCAGTGGTCAGTTTGATGAAAATGTGTGCGTGCTCGTGCGTGAAAAAGGGACAGAGGGTCTAGTGATGTTAACGCTGGTGTGTGTTAGTGTTGTGTTTGCTCCCTAGTTGTTTACTGACCATGGCCAAGAACCTGCCAGTGGACCACAGACAGGCCAGTAGCTGACACCTGTAACTGAGATGCATTATGTATACAGAAACCCACTGAGCACTGCCTGTTTTCTACTCCTGTGTCATAAACTTAATCACCTCTATGTTAATTAGGTTGACTCTATATGTGCTGCACTACCTCTGCATATAGGTTGCCATCATTTTCTTGCTTATCAAGTGTGTGCAGTGATTATACCATTTTACTCTTTAACAACACTGAATCAGTCACTGCAGCATGCACTAATAATTAATGCATAGTCATGTGTAGTGGAGCAGCGGCAGGACTTTCAGGAGCTTACTCTGTTAGTCAACACAAACATTTACATATTTACTGGCAACATAGCAGAGCGTGTGTGTATGTTAGTTGTGTTATTTGTTCAGACAAATATCTTTTTTTTTTTTCTCATCCAGTGGCGTGCACTATTTATATCTTTATTCAGTGCACATTACTGTTTTTTTCATTGCAGTGGTACGTGAATGAATGGATTTAACAAGCTCTTGCAAAGTAGTCCAACTATGTTGTCGGGCACACCCAGATAAATAAAGGATCTTGACATTGTGCATTTCCCTAATGGCTGACTGGCTTGGTAAATAAGCATGTGATTCTGCTGGCCATAACCAGGTCATGTGGGTTAACCACAAGTGGCTGTGGGTTTGGGCTGTTGTGGTGAAGGTGGAGGGAGGGGGGTGTGGCCCCAAATTCCCATGATGTTTGCTTGAGTTCTCTGCCTTTTCTGGACTGCCAGTCAGAATGCAGTCTACCAATCAGCACCTTTTTTGCTCTGCATTTATCATTTGTGTTTTAGTGTCAAAGCTCAGTGTCATACTCAGACCGGTGCATTCTGGTAGTGTGAGTGGGTTAAACTAGTGTGCTTGTGGGTTTATGCTGCTGTGGTGAATACAGAAGCCAGAGTGGAGACTGTTGAGTGTGGTGAAAAGCAGTTGTACCGATACAGTGTGAGGCATGCTGGGAATTTAAATGTTGTAACAGTTGTTTTGCAGTTGTAAACTCAAACATTTTCACATCAGAAATTCCTGAACTTTGCACTCAGTGCAGATAGCAAATGGCACTCTTTACTGCAGCCTTACTGCCTTTTTTGCAACTCAGTGAATTCTCTGTAGGATTTCCATGCAGATAAAGACTGAATAATACCTTCTTTGTTTATGCTTCTTTGCAGGTTTTGGTAGCTCTCATGGTGTAACACAAAGCCCAGTCAGTAAGCAACAGGAACCAGTTCAGTGCCTGCAATGGCTTGTGTTGTAAAATGGATGTTATAAAGAAGAAATAATGAAAACACGGACACACAAAGAATCGGTATGCACAAGGCCTATGTCTTTTTCACAGTGATGTCAGGGATTGTATACCTGTCTAATTTTGATGGCTATGATCATAATTAGTTCAATATGTGACAATATTTTAAAACAGCTAGGGTAACAAAGATGTAAATTATGTATTTGGGCGTGAGGCAGCAATGTGGTCTAAAACAGCAGATTCAATGTTTATATTTGATTCTTTCTTCTGCTTGCAATCCCTCCCTCCTCTGTGTCCTTCTGCCTTCAATGTTATGCCCTTCTTTTCACCTCCCTCTCCTTTTCGCTCTCCACTTGTTGTTGCCCTTGCTACATTTCACCTTGAATTGCACAAATTTGAGTTTATTTTGTGGTGTATTAACTCTTTTTTTTATTACAACCAACCTTATTCTCTCTGCATATTCTGTTTTTCCTCAAACCTTACCTTTTTTTTGTTTTCCACTCCCATCTGTATTTTCCTTTCTCGTTGGACTTTGGGTTTTCCAGATGCCCATGCGCAGTGGGCGACGGCGGGGGGCGAGCGAGGAGAGAAGGGGTAGGCGCCCTCACCCCAGCCCCACTCGCCCTGAACGCAATGATAGACAGGTGGTTAGTGCCTTCTTCTTTTGTTTCTTATCCTTTCCTGTTGTATTTTTGGCTCTAGTTATATGTGTGTGCATGCAGGTATGAGCTTCACTACCAATAAAGAACTGCCACTATGTACTGAATTGTGTGTGTGCTGTCAGTGTATGAGTCATCAGTATGATTCTTACAGACAAATCCTTGCAGTGTCAGTATTGTTCAGCTGTGTGTTTTACGGCTTAGCACTTTGAAATCTTTGATGTTTCCTCCTTGTCATTGATGTTTTCTGTGAATGTGTGTGTGTGCATGCACGCGTTGCTCTATTCTAAAAACACAGATTTATTAGACATTCAAAAGCATCACTACAGAATTAAAAGTCTTGTGTTGTTTTAGCAAAGAGGTGCTGGTGAGGAATTGGCTGGAAATCGCTTCAGTCGCAGATCACAAGGGCATGATTCATCAGAGAGTGAGGGGGAGGAACTTGTGTCTCCTCCAAAGAGGCAGAAAGTTCAGGTTTGTGTTAACATTTCATCAACCTCTTGTATAAAGTCCAATTATAAAGCTTTGATCCAGGTAATTCAGCCAAAAGACACCGTCTAAGATATTTAAAGTTATATACTAAGTTATTGTTAAATATACTAAATTATATACAAAATTCTCAATGTTTTTTTTTTTTTTTTGTACCTCATCCATAAATGATTGTTTCTTGTCAGGACTCAGCTCCAATCCCAAACCCTCCAACTTCAACACATGTGACTGACACCTCAGCTCCTTCCACTGTCCCACCTCCAACCTCAGTTGCTAGCCAGTCCCGTGAGAGTGACAATGAAGACGGCCAATCCCAGGGCAGCCGGAGTTCAGTCGTGGGGAGCCTGGCCAATAGCAGCAGTAGTCTGAGCAGTGGGCGTGATATAGACCAGGACAATCGTTCCTCGTCCCCAAGTCTCTCCGCTTCCCCACTGGGTAGCTTGGACTCTGATTCTGATGGCCCCGACTCACCAAAGCAAGGAGACAGGGAACGTGAAAAAGGCAAAGACGGAGGAGCAGTGAAGGTGGCAGGAGAGGATAGGAGAGCGCTACGAGAGGGAAGGGGGGAAGAGTCCTGTGGAGATGGAGAAAAGCGGGATGCGGATGCAAGACCTGAAGACTGTCCTTCTCTTAAGCCCACCTCCACTCCATGCTCTTCTTCTGGTCTGACTTCCTCTCTTCGTGGAGCAGGTGATTCATCAAATGACAGCAATAGTGGGAGGAAGTCCTATTTCTCCCTGGATGCCAAACTGATGTGTAAAGCTGAATATGTCGGACCAACGGGCATTGATGGTGCACTTAGTGGCAGCAGAATGAATTCCAAAGCTAGCACACAGTGTGTGACCAAGACAACTATCTCGGGTGGAGATTTTTCCCATAACAGCCCAAATGTTCCCCACTCCTTGCCTCCTCCTCTTCCTCCTCCACCTGCTCTGAAGCCCTTGGAGCTCGGGGGACAAAACTTACCTGCTGATGTCAAGACAGAAAGAGAGAAAATAGAAAAGGCAGATAAACTCCTGGACAAGCCTCAGTCTACTCCTCCTTCCCTGTTGCCACAGACCAGTCCCCAGGCACAGTCCCAGCCTCAGACCCAACCCTCCACCCACACTCACCACTATAGCTGGCAGGGTGGCACAGCAACTGGTTGCCAGGGGAGCTGGGGCTACACCCGTTACCCTGGCAACCACCATCCGCACCAACCACAGCACCAGCCTCCAGTGCAGCAGCAGCAACTTCCCTCTGTTTATAACCCTCCGTCCTCTCGCCACTCCTCCTCCCACCCCTCTTACCTCCCCCATCCTCACCCCCACCCCCACAGAGAGTACCTTCCTAGGTACGCTGGAGGGGGAGGGGAGAGAGAAAAGGGGGCTGCAGGAGAGAGGGAGAGGGGAGTGAGGGGGGAGTGTGGAGGGAGGGAGATCAACAGGGAGTTCTCTGCTCCCATTGGCAACACCAGCAACAATACTAGTGGGGCTAATAGTAATAATGCTTGTGGTGGGATGGGTGGGCCCAATAGCATCCAAGGCAGGGAGTTTGGGGCTCTGTCAGTGGGTCAGACCCGGGAGTTCCAAGGTTCTGGGAGAGATGGGCCTAACTTGGGCTCTCAAAGAAGAGACTTTGGTCCAGCTTTCAGAGACAGAGAGCGAGAAAGGGAACGTGATGGAGGAAGGGAGTTTTCTCTGCCAAACCAAAACCAGACGAGAGACTTTGGCCCCAATGGAACTGGAGGGGGGCTTCCCAGAGACAAAGATGGAGGCAGATGGGGTGAGTTTGGGAGCCAGACAAGAGAGGCTGTAGGTAACAGTAACCCAAACAACAGCTCCGTCCCCCTGGGAAACCCCCCAAGTTCAACAAGCAGCCTACCTGTCACCCCCATGTTAAACCAAGACCCACCTGCATCACCACAAAACAACCCCAGCCACCCCTCTCATTCCTCCCTCCCTCCACATCCCCCAAATTCATCCAACCGAGACTTCCCTCCTCCCATAGACCAGGCACAAACCTCCTCCTCTGGAGTAGACCACTTCCACAGAGAGTATCCTCCCACTGGGGCGCCTTCTTCCACTGGCACAAATCGAGAGTACCTCAGCTCCCCTGGAGTGACTCCAAACTTGGGACGAGAGTATTCGGGCCCTGGAGGAGCCCAACACCCCCACCCATCTCATACCCACTACCAGTCTGGACCCAGAGACAGAGAAAGAGACTCAAACCTGCGAGAGTCTGCTTTATACCAAAGCCGTGGTGGCCCAAATCAACCTCCTGCACTCTCTCCTTCCTCCTCTTCCAGCCATCATGGGCACCCTACAAATGCTCCTTATCCCCCTCCACAACCTCAGCCTCCTCTACCCTCTCCTCAAATTTCGCACGTCCAACCACCCCCATCAGGTATGGCACCTAGTGTACGTCCCCCACACTACCAGTCCTCCTCCCAGACTCCTCCAACACCCCTATCTCCCTTACCCAGCCCATCCACCAATCAGATGGGAGGCTTCTCGTCTTTTCCACCCGGCTCCTCCTCTGCACCCAACATGCCTGGGCCAGGTGTGCCGTCCAGCTGTTCACCTGGATGTCGCCCCTCCCCTTTCCATGGCACTTTGAACAACCACCCTCCATTCAGTGGAACGTACCACTCTAATGGGAACAGTGGCAGTAACATGGCTAATAGCAATAGCAACAATAGCGCTCCCAGCAGCAGCAATACCAGCTCACAGTCACTTTCACCGCAAAATGTGTCAAAAGGTCCTCCACCTCTTAGTAACTCTGCCAACAACAACAGCATTTCAACCCCTTCCTCCAGTTCTTCACTCCCAAGTGGAGATGGACATTCAGAATCAGGTCCGCCTCCCACACCTGTCATCAAAGAGGAACCAATAGAAGACCGGGATGAGAGTGAAAGCCCACCACCAGTGCTGAGAAGCCCCTCTCCTGAACCCAAACCTGTAGATATTCCCATCCATGCCAGCCAGTCAGCACGGTAAGGTCCAAATGACCTCATCATCCTAACTCTGTCAGTGTGTCACTTTACTTCAGTTCCTCTTTTTATGGCCAGGTGTACCGATTACTGTTGTGGTGATACTGAGTCCTGATGCTGGCAATAATGACATACTACACTGCTGTGTGTCACATTTCTAGGTTTCACAAGGTTCTTGACCGTGGCAGCAGGAACTCCTGTGCTCGCAGTGACGTCCTCTTTGTCCCTTTGGATGGCTCCAAACTGTGGAAGAAGAGGAATGAGATGATCGAGAGGGCCCGCAGGGAGGTCGAACAGCGGGCCAGAGACCTAAGAGGGAACTGGATCGACATCTACAGGTGTGCACATTTAAAGCATGATAGTTTTCCAGTGTGTCAGGTTTAATTGATTTGATGTAAATTAAATTGATAATTTTAATGGAAGGGACTAAAGCAGATAAGGGCAGATGTGATTTACTGTCTTCTATTTTCTCTGCAGCAGCAGAAGGACATCAACGCTGCTGGAGGCTGTCGCCAGGGATCCTCACTCTTCTTCCCCTCCTCGTCCTCTATCATTCTCGACCCTTCATCTTCATCCTCTTCTTCCTCGGGCAACCCTGTCTCCCATCCACCCCCCCACCCCCAGCATCATCCCTCACATCCACATGCTCACCTTCCTCCAGCACACCATCTCCATCCCAGCCTCTCTCACTCCATCCCCCATTCCCTCCTCCTGCCTTCCATGGGTGGGGCATCAGCAGTGGTTGGAGGCCCACAGGGGGCCCTGGGAATTGGTTTAGGAGGTCCTTATCTGGGCCCAGACACCCCAGCCCTGAGAACCCTGAGCGAGTATGCTCGCCCTCATGCTATGTCTCCACTTGGGGCAGCGAGTCGTGCCCAAGCACATCACCCACAGGTTCACCATGGCCACCCCCATGTCCACCCCTCATTCTTCCTTCCTCAATTCCAAAATCCAGCTTTAGGACACCCACATCACCTGCCTACCGATGCAGCTACTGCAGCAGCCATCTTGGGGTTTTTGTATGGTGGCAGCCTTGAAGGTGGTCCAGGTGTTGCTGGCCACCCTGGGGTGGCAGGAGGCCCAGTACCTGGAGGGATTGGGGGTGCAGGGTTGGGCGGAGTTGGCTTTCCTCATGCAGTAGCTGCACATCGAGATCGAATAAAGCCAGGATTTGAATTTAAGAGTGATGATCGGGTTTACCCTCCAGGGTCTATACCTGATTCTGCAGCTCTTGCTCTTGCTCATTCACATTCTCATTCCCATGCCAATGCCCATGTGCATGCACATTCCCTGCTCCTTGGAGGAGGTGCAGGAGGACCTAATGAAGTGTCACTCTATGCTACCCCTCCTCCCCCAGCTCCCACTGGCCCTCCGCAACTCCAGAACCCAACGCTGGCCCCAGTAACTCGACCTCCCAACCCTCCTGCCCCTCAGTCCCTGTCAAATCCACCACCTTCGTCTCTCCTCCCACCTTCACTCTCCTCTCACTCTTCATCTGCACCACCAGCTGCCCCCCCAGGCCCGACAGCCCCTGCCGTTCCTCCATCAGCTCCTCCTCCACCTGCTCCGCCAACCTCCAATGCCGCCTCATTCCATCACCCAGTCCCCCATTCTTCTTTTCCCAGCTCCCTGTCCTCTCATCTGCCACCAGCTCCTGCCCCAGCCGCTCCCCCTGAGACCTACCCCGCCCCTGCTCGTTCACCTACCTCTTATGAACGAGACAGGAGTGGAGAAAGGGAGAGGGAGAGAGACAGAGCAGCTTTGCCTGCTTTTGGGGACAGAGAGCGAGAAAGAGAGAGGGAGAGAGAAAGGGGAGGAAGTGGTGGAGGCAGCGGAGGAGGAACAGGTGGTGGAGGTGGAGGAGAGAATCTGGGGCGTCTTCAGATGCTAAACGTGACGCCTCATCATCACCAGCATTCACACATCCATTCACATCTTCACCTGCACCAGCAAGACACAGGTACCCACTGCTACAAACAATGCTGTCATAACTTGTCACCATCAAATTATCTTCCTGAGATTACACAGATGTGTTACTCTGAAAATATTTTGTAGTAAGAAATTTGAAAGGTTTACACAACTACCAGTATTATATAATATGTACTGACATGCTGAATGTGTGTCTAAATCTGCATCTGAAACTAGTCTAAAACAAATGCAGCCTTCATTCTCCCTTGAGTTTCATTTGCTAAAGACTACAGCACCCAGCTGTTATAGAAGATTTGGGCCTTTTTTAAAAACTGAAACTATGTATTTGTGATATATTTGTAAAGATTTACATCTTCAGTAATAACTAAGGGGCTATTTGCCCAAGACAGGGCAGGGAAGTTACAGAGTGTTGATTTTGAATGAACACAGTTATGGTTTTGGGCTTTTCATGGGAATTGTGGACAGTAAGAAAAACAATGCCAGCTTTGTCCTTTTTGTATTAGTGTAGTTCAGCTTTAAACACAGTCATAGTTTTCTCTGAAATGTGTGACCATTTTGTTCAAAGTCTTAGTCTTAGAGATATTTGCTTACTCGGGCCTTTGTTTGGGATTTGTATATTAATATTTGTAATTCACGTTTAGGAACACAGGCATGGTTTTCATTCACACACAGGATTAACATTTTTCCAAAGTACAATGTGACAGTGAAGCCTTTTTTCCATATGCTGATGCCTGTGTACTTGTTTGATCTGCTTTACTTTTTGCTTTGAATGAAAATTGTTTAAAAAAATCTACTGTTCACCCAGAGTTTGTGTTGCATCCAGAAACTTGATTTCTCTGACTTGATCCAACTTATTCAGGTGTTCAGTTGTTTGTCATCTTTGTCTTGAATTCATGCTGATGCTTTGACTCATATTAAATATCTCCTGTATTTCTTATTACATCACTGGCATCCAGCGGCGGGCGGGGTTCACCCCCTGATGGACCCGTTGGCGTCGGGGTCTCCTTTGGCACGTCTCCCTTACCCAGGAGCCACACTCGGCACTCCCATCCTGGCTCACCCCCTCACTGACAGCGAGGTGCTCCGCCAACAGCTGTTCGGTGAGGAGAAGGCTCCTCGTCCATGTACTCGTTCAGTTTTTTCTCTAAAAACTTCACAGTGCTAAAAGTCTATGAAGAGACCTTTTAAATACAGTGATGATGATTGACCTGGGCACCCTTTCCCCTCTTTTCTTTCTCCCTTTTCTTTTTGCGTCCCTACATGTTCCTCCGTTTTCCTCCCTGATTTGTTAACAGGTGCTCCGTTCCGTGACCTGCCCCAGCCGTCCTCACTCACTGGTCCCATGTCAGCAGCCCACCAGCTGCAGGTCATGCAGCAGGCCCAGAGCGCAGAGTTGCAGATCCAGAGACTGGCCCTGGAACAACAGTGGATCCATCACCACCACCACCACTCTCTCACCCAGGATGAGTATTACAGGTACAGTGGCTGTGGCTGTGTGTTAGGTCAACTGTAACCTCAAGTGTTAATGCAACAGAGGATGAACATATCCTGTAAGGTACAGAATTGTTTGGCCAGGTGGTGGCCAGGGGTGACACCAGCCACCCCCAGAATCTGAATGGCCACCCCTCATTCATTGGCTATACTGTGTCCCTCTGCCCATTAGGTGTTGTTAAATCGACTTCCAACAGATGATTTGACATAAGAGCTTATTCTTTGTTGGGATTTGTTGTGTAGCAGAAATGTACATGTCTGTTTATTACATTTTGATTGGCCTTAATCACAGGCTTACTCTACACACACACCCTAATGTTTTTTGCAGATGAAGGCCAGAGAATCTTAGAGAGAAGTAGAGTTTTTTTTTTTACCTTTTCAGATAATACTGTTGTACAATGCCATATTTGGATTCAAATGAAGCTTGAAAAATGTATATCCAAAACAGATGTTATTTTGAGAGTAAAAGCATTAACCTGCAATTGCCTGAGATGAAACTGGACATGAACATTAGCTTTGTCTTCTGCCTCATCTTTAACTTACACACACATTTGGTTTGTCTTTTCCCCTTTTAGTCACTTGAAGAAAGAAAGTGACAAGACCCTGTGAGGAGGGGGCACTACGACGAGCAGCATGGAGAAAACTGAGGGAGAATGTGGGCAAAATTCAATAAAATAAGCAAAAAAAAAGCACTAAAAACAATGAAGGAACAAAGACTAAACAAAGCTGGACTAATGGATAGTAATGGATTCACGGAAGAAAACAAGAAGGATTAACAAAAGGCTGATGAAGTTGTGAAGATGTTGCACAGAGTCCGTGCAAACTGCACCACAATGATCCGGGATCCGGACTCCAGCACTTCCCTGCATAATGTTCTTGAAATCCAGTCCTGTTTTGTATTGTGCTCTGTACAGTATATTAGATGGAGGGGCGGGAGCAATAGTGAAGTACAGTATGTGTAAAATACTTGATGCCAGAAGGAATGTGTACATGAGTCTCTTTTATGTCATTGCATGTAGCTAGGCGCTAATTCTGAACTGGTGGAACTTTTGGTTCTATTTTTAGTATTTACCCCCTCGTTTGTATCTGAGGGATTCTATATGCATGAGACCAGCAATTTAGTGTTATGTTATGTTTATGATCAATAGTATTGTTATTTGATTAATGTTGTCTGTTCATAATGATATAATTAATATACAGTACATATTATTTGTATTATTTTTTTACATTTTCATGGTATGGCAGTCAGTTTTTATTTTTATTTTTTATTTTCAATTTACCTTGTGAAACAAGATGCAAAGAAAGGCAAAAAAAATCTGGAAATAAATTATAATCATTTTTTTGCTAGTCTCTTGTTTATTCATGTGTGAGCCCCTCATACATTTAGACTGTTTGCCCTGGCTTTGTTTTATACAAGTCACTCATGCACAAAGCATATCAAATTCCTCAGTCTCCTCCCCCTCCCCCTTTTCCTCTGCTCCTTCTGACTCCCCCTTCTTTCTCTTTCTTGGTCTCTCCCTCCCTCTCTTGGCGAGTGTAGCTAATAGGAGACACATGGGATGAGTGTGAGACATGGGAGTTGAGTCGCTCCAGTGAACACCAGCCACCCTGTAGTGTTAGCATTCCTTACTGCACTGTAAAACTAAAAAGAAAAGAAAAATATAAAGAGAAATGAAAAGGAGAAAGACAGCAGGAGCTGTGAGAGTGTGATTTATGGGCCCTGCTGAAGGCTTAGGGGTGTATGTGTTCTCGCCATGTCTGACTAAGGAATCTCCTTCAAACAGATATGGATCAGTAAATATGGCCTTAACGTTGCATGTCAGAATCACTGCTGGCTCGCAGATCTGGGGACATGTAAATGTGGCCAAACTAACTTTTCAGCCTTGCCGCTTTCATTCTTTGTTGATGCACTCTGACCATGTAAATGACCTTACAAGAGTCTGTCTATAATCTCTGTCCCTTCTCTGTCATGCCATAAAACCTCCTCATGCTGCTGTGATGTTGACTGATAACCTTACTGTAGGAACCTTCTCAGTCAGGGTAGTGATCCTGGATGGGAGACATGTTACAGAAATATATACATATACATATGTGTGTCATTAAAAGTCACCTTGAATAAGTATGTCATGATCAGGTAAAGTATCCTGTAGCAGGACAAATCTGATTCCCCCTCAGGTGACATCACATCTGGGGGTTATTCTTAGCACGTCATCAGTCCTTTTATTCCAGGTGGATAAGGACATTATGAAAGGTGCGTATGAAAAATGAAAGACTTTATTTTGCACACAGCATTTTATATAAGCCTGGCATTATTACTATGGCATGTTCTTCTTAAACTTTGAATGCAAAATAGTGGTTTATTATTAGCAGCAGTTGTTTTCAAATCTAGGACAATATATCATTGTTATTCTTTCATATTGACCTACTTTTAGCACCAGATAATAAATGGATTAGCACATCAGAATAATGCACAGCGTCAGATAACCGTTAAATCACTGATATTTAAAGTAAATTTCTATAGTGTGTAAGATTAATTATATTGTCATTAGTGAAACAATCCACTCTGGCAGCAGCAAGACTGAAAATATGAGGAACAATTTGCCTGTAGTTCCAGGTGAGATACCAGCTTGTGTATATTAAACAAACAGCTGCATGTCAAGGCCCTTCTTTTATTATGATGATTGCTACACTCTCAACTAATTAGTTTCTCTAAGCTGTGAAATTTTTAATTACTTAGTTATAGTTGAAGAAGTGATGCTAAAGTCATGCAAGCCTAATAAACTCTCATTAGCATCCAAATATGATGGTTTTTGTTCCTCTGACAGCTGCTAATAAGTGAAACAAGTGAATAAGTGGTTGAGTGTATAAAATCATGTGTGCTCAGACAAGGTGTTCCAAATTCATTAAGAATAATAAAATGTTTAGGGCTCACATTAGTAGTATACTTTTGAAATGTGAGGCTGCCAGTTTGCAACCTCTCACTTATTATTCATGGCAAGTATTCATAGAGAGACTCAGGCAAAAAATAACAATGTGGTGCACTAGCAGCGCACAGTGAGTAATTTGGTTTAGTCCCTGTCCCACGGCTCCCTCCAGCAAAATACATTCCTTTCTAGAGGTTCTCATTTCGTTCAGGCAGGTTTTGCCTGCAAGAGGCAGTTTTAACAGAGCTGCATCTTCAAGTTGATGCACTTGCTCCTTGGCCATCTTTCTTTGTCTATTGGAGATGTCATAGTTCATAAAGTTTGCCCTGTCACTACCACTAACCCTTTTTTATACCCGTCTAATGTCTTTGTGGCTACTGATCTGCTTGTTTTGTGGTCCATGTCTGCCCATCTGCTTGCATAGTTGCTACAGTCCTATTAGGATTTTAGACAGCCATCTCTAATTTCACTGTTGCAATCTTACATTGCAATTCCTTGGTTGTTTCCTTTGGTTAGATAGAGATGCAGAATGATTTTTGATATCACTCACAGTGCAAGGACAAGAAGGATATTTTCATATTGATGCAGATCATTTGGACACACTCTACTCAGAATACTGCTGTGTTATTCATTTGCACACTCTACTGTACATATGCAGATATGGTATATTTACCTTTGCACTATTTATATCCATTAAACTGTTAACTCATGTAACTTATTGTTATCTTCTTCTTCTGCACTATTTCATCCCATTGGACTAGTGTTTTATAAGCTTACTGTACCTTATCTATTATTTGTAATTTAAATCCATAAAGCCTGTTGTATATTGTACATTACCTTATATAACTTACTGTAAATAACAATTGTAGAAATCTATCAGTAAATTAGTTCTGACTGTACACACTGTGGATACTGCGCACTCTGCATTGCTGTTATTGCACTTCTGGTTAGATGCTAAACTGTATTTCGTTGCCTTGTACTTGTACATGTGTACTATAAAGTTGAATCTAATCTAATCTATTATATGCATGAAGGGGTAAGGGTTAGTACTTACCCTGGTCAATGAAAAAAAATCTGCTTGAACAAATCCTACAACTTCCCATTCAGTTTCTCAGATCACAACAGCAACAGACAAACTGCAAAGTGGCACGAGTGCCTGCTGGCTGAGAGCTGAGTCTGTAGCCTTTTCCACCTCCTCTCACCCAGACAATCGATTTCTTGTGACCTATTGCTCACTCCATTCCAGCAAGGAGAACAGGATCCCGGAGGATCATCTAGAGGCATTGCTGAGCATCTGTAAGTGGTTGTAGACAACATGTGGGTGAGCAGAGCAAGAACCCGTTTCCACTACACCAGGGGGGGCGCGGCTCACTGCCCACAGTTTGCCAGCATCCTTATCATCACAGTAAGCAATGGGCTACATGTGTACAACTGCTCAGGTTAGGACTAGAATAGTGAGATGTTACTGTCAACAGTCCATGATTTAAGTGATAAAAAGCAAACCAGTGGTAATATGGATGGAAAATAAGAGGTCTGTAAAGACCCTGGCCACCTATTTACCTACATGCAACAGATGTTTGCCATAATGAGATGATGACTGCAGTTGGTGACGCGGTCATGACTCACACTGATCTGTCCCCTGTGGTAGATCCCGCTCCACATTCACTCGTCCTATGTCTCCTTCATTATATTATTTTAATTATTTTAGTGTTTTTCATCTTCTCTGAGTGTCTGAGAAATAAAGTGAGCTAAGCTAGGCTAGCCTAGTCTTTAACAATGTGTTTTTTATTTTTACTTAATATTTTTACTTGGTCTTACTTACAGTATTGCTACTTGTGACCTATCCAAGGTGTTTCCTTGTTCATCACACAATACATGCTAGGAGAGGCTTCAGTCCCACATGATAATGAAGCATGAATGGATGTAGCAGGATATGTTCTTCTAATATATGTGTCTTCCACACTCAGAAAGAATCTTCTAAACTCACTATGTTCAGATGGTCTCTGGGTTTGTATAGTGCCTGCTCAAATAAAGATGGAGTGGTGCGTTGGTGAGTCAGAGGAACAGAAAAGGATTAAAAACCTCCTTTGCTGTGATAATAATTGTGGTAAAAATTATTCTGGGCCACTCACAATGTTGGATTTTAACATGGTGAAAAGAACAAGTTGTTATTAAAAATGGAACAGTCAAGCATGAAATATGTATGAAATTGAACAAATTATTTTAATAGCATGGTCTGCCGTTGGTTTGTGATGGTGGCAGTGGAGGTGGAAAGGAGGCTTTGATGCTGATTAGTTTATTCACAATAGCTCCAAACAAACAATATTTAGTTTATATATTATATGAACAAAAACAGGGTCAAGAAGTATGACTGAAAATCCAGTAGGGGCACTTTGGTCTAGAAATACTTATTATGCCACCTATTTTCAGTACTTTTCAGCAGTGTAGCAATCATTCCTAATGATATAATTAATTATGGTAATGCAGCCTGAACCCAGATAATCAGCATAAAACGGATTCATGTATTAACCAGTTCAAAGTTATGAATTAATTTCACTTCATTTAAGTTTTTTTTAAATCAGCACTTCCCTATTTTTGGACAATAAGCCTCAAAGCTACTGTAGCTACCAGTGGTGACACTGCTTGCTACTCGTCTGCTGGTGCACACTCCAAGTCCACAAACAGAATGTGTAGCCTGCTGCACACAAAGACATTTTATAAAAAACAGTAAGTATTGCCTACAGCAGGCAAAAGAAAATTTTATTTTGTAAACTCTAGACTTTTTATATATACATATATACACACACACAGTTCTAGGGGCGTTGGAATTGTGATGATCAAGTGCGGACAAATAGATTTTGAAAAAAACTAAAGAAAACAAGACTAAACAGGAAAAAGTTTTTTTTAAGTGTTTATAATTTGTGTTCTTAATGCCACGAATGACTAAATAAACCACAAAATTGCTTCATGTTTGCTTTTTTCAAATGATGGCAGGTTTCTTTCCAGCAAAAACATATAAAATTGCTGTTTCCTTAGCTATCCGAAACGTTGCGTAACCATTTCAAGGAATGGAAACATGAGGGACCCCTTTGTTTCAGTGAGTTAATAGAAAGTACATTTATTTTTTTGCTGATGTGAAAAACCTTCTCATCCATTCTATTTAACAGCAGAGAACATACACACTGGGTTGTACGATTAAACATGAAGCTCACCTCTGTTTCACGGACACTTACTCTGTTGTCCTATTTCTTGACAATACATCTGCATGGCGAAGTTTAGATAGATCTGGTCAGAGCACCACTCCAGCACTTAACTTCACACAAATGTTTTGGAGCTGAGCCCCAGTACACAATTCAGCTTGCTTTAATCCACACATCCACTTTCAAAGAGATATTGTGTCTACTCTGGCCACTTGTTGTAAGTGGTTTACCGCACAGAGCACCTGCGTGTACAGGAGAGCTCTCAGCAAGTCCCTCTCCGGTGAGAGAGTGTAACCTGAAATCCATGTCTTACTGTGTTATGAGATGAGAATGAAGTGTTGGCGCTAGACACTTACCACAGTCATTATCAGGAACTGAAGTAAATGCTGTTATAATGTAGTTTAACCTCCAAATATGCTTACTGAAGATTTGTATATACTGTTTATAACACAAAAAAGTGTTTAAACATCTGAGTATTTCACTCATATGTTTTTTGAACATCTCATCCCAAAACCACTGGCATTAATGTGCCACTACAACATCCTCCACTAGATGTTGGAACCTGGTTGTAGGAGCATCAGTGAGGTTGGGGTCTGATGTTGGACAGTAAGGTCTGGTGCACAGGGTTAGCCTCACCCCAAAAGGTGCTGGATGGAGTTAAGAACAGAAAGTCTTTCTACATCAAACATTAACAACCATGATGAACTTGGAAACATGGGGACAGGAAGGGCTCTCTCAGGTTGTTGCCATAAATCTGGAAGCACATTACTAAGTTCATCCTAAATAGTTATTATCTTGCAGACATTTGGACTTGTAGCAGGAAACAGGTGTTACTGATTACAATACATTAATGATGACTTCGCTCTATTCAAATGTACCAGTAAAAGCCATGACAGAGAGACAGTGAGCCAACATGCACCACAGCAGAACCCTGAAACTGAAACACCTACATGGAAATCATTCATCATTTGTTTTACCTGGGCCTTATCTACTGGTATAATACATGTCTTCTGTTAAAAAACTCTATAGAGACTATAGTTCTGGTAGCAGGGCTGATCAGAAATGACATCTTTTAGGAAAATAGAATGAATTTACAGTAATATCTGCCAAACCTGCCTGGAAGTTTGACTTTTCATGAACACTCAGCCAGGAAAGTGTGCTACCAGCAGCTGTTGATTTAAAATGAATTCATACTAATTAAAATTATTGTGCTTCTGGATCCCTGCTCGTTCACACATCTATTTCACTCCCTGCCTCAACTCATAAGCCTGTAACTTCCACTTCTAATAGTGCCTAATGTAAGCCTGTCACTCAGAGGGACACTTTAGCTTTCCCTTCAGTCCATGAAGAGCCATCAACTGTGCAGTTAGTGGACATTTGTGAAGTGGGAGCTTAAAGGTCCACTGGCTAAAACTGTATGCAAAATGAGTTTTTACAGGATAAAGACAAACTAGCCCTATAATGGCTTTCTGGGACGCTTGAATAGAACAGATTGTTAATGTTATTTATAACACCTGTGGTTTTCTTGCAATGACAAGTGAAAACATTTACTGCAGGAAAGGTCCTGTTTTTATGTGAAAATGTGTTGTGGTCTATGTGTTCCTGAGTTTATTCTTTTTAAAAATATCACTTTAAAGTTTAAACCCTTAATAGAGCCTGTTTACAGCGGCCATGACAGAGCGGCTAATCACAGGTGTTACTAATGACAATAATTCCGGCTCCGTACCTGAATAGAACACAGCCTTCATTAATGTGATTAGTAACACCTGTGTTTACCTAGTATTTCATATCAAAATGGCTGCTGTGAGAGGTCTATTGCCACCAACCCATAAACTCGTGCTGTGCGGTTTTTGGAAATACAGGACTTTGATTTAAATGATAGTGGGGATACCAAAGTTTCCAAGTATCCCAGATGTATAGGAATGAATTTTGGGAACATGATGCAACAGACAAGTAAAATATTTCCATTTGGAAATCATGGAGTATATTTTGAACACTCAGTGTAGACAGTGTGTAACTTCAATGAAGATCTGGACCAAGCTGGCACAGAAACTAAATAGTCAAACAATGTGGAGTAAGATTTGTTTTAAGCACTCAGATATTTTACTTAAGTAAAAGCAACAATACCACAGTTTAAAAATCTACTCTGTAAAAGTCCTGCTGTCAAAATTTCACAAAAGGTACAAAAATATAATAGCATTAAAAATAAAATAACATGCAGCACCGGTCATTTCAGAATAATATATCATTAAATTATAATTATTGATGCATTGCTGAATAACAATACTGCAACAATAGAGCTGATGAAGGTGCAGCTACTTTCAACTGTTATATGCTGCTGGGAAGCTTAATATAAAATAATGCTTCATAATTTTTAGTTGCTTATGTTGTGTACCAGTAACATACGGTAACGTTGTAAAGTTAATGTTGTGGAGTCAAAAGTATGTTTAATGGCCTTCCATTAAACAGCTGAGCAGGTACTACTGTTATATGAGCGAGGTAAAGCAAGTATATTGCATATTGTTACTTTACCTATATTTTGAATATTTGATTGTAAGATGGTTAGTAGCTGAGGGCGCAGTCACTTGCCAGAAAAGAAGTACACGCTCACTACAGGAGACACTAGAGTGCCTCTGCCATGTACTACTGCCAAGTACTGTGGATTGATGGGAAATTATTAATGAAATGCTGTTACTGCCACCTACTGGAGCGCAGTGCAACTTCCCTCTTAGAAAGCAGAATACATTAAACAGTACCACAATGTTTAGAGCATTATTGATTTATTTTGTAAGAACACATTTACCATAATTTGCTTATAAAAAGTTATGTCAGTGAGTCTTACAATTTATTTGCACATAATTTACCGCAGTTAGTGTTTACACAAGGCTTAATAAGGTCCATGCACATTTTCCAACATAATTCTCAACTAGACAAGAAAACAAACATTACATTCTTTGTTAACAACTATTTGGTGTTTTATAATTAAATAATAGATGACACATGTAATAACAACATATAATAACAATATATTTGATCTACTGGACAAGAGAAATTTCACTGTCCCACTACAGAAGGTCATACAGGCATATTCTCCCTCTTGTGAACACTTCTCATATGTCTTCCAAGAGACTCCATCCATTTAAAGGATTTCTCACAATAACTACACACAAAGTGTTTCCCCTCAGTGTGGATGGTCTGGTGTCTGTTCAGAGCGCTTGTTGTGATAAATGTCTTTCTGCATATTTCACATCTGTATGGCCTTTCCCCTGTGTGGGTCCTGATGTGAGCTGCCAGGTGGGAACAGTTACTGAAACGCTTTTCACAAACAGAGCAGCTGTAGGGTTTCTCTTTACTCTCCTCGCTGTTGTTGTTGACGTGGTAGGGGTGGAATGGTAAGGTGTGGCCCTGCAGACTAGTTTTCAGACTGGAAGGAGATGAGATGAAGTCTTTTATGTCTGATTTAAGACCTTTAAGCTGCTTTGCATCGTGACCCTTCCAGAAATCTCTGTGGCTATTCTGCTGCTCCTCCTTGACCTGTGAGGGCTCTGGATGCTCCTGCTCCGAGCTGCTGCCACCGTCCTCCTCACAGTGCTGAGGTTCGGGAGCCTCCACTGCAGGAACTGACTGATGGTGCTGCTGCTGCTGCTGCTGCGGAGGGGGGTGATGATGGTGGTGGGGATGGGTGTGCTGCTGCGGCAGGGCTCCAAAGCATCTTTCTACCTTGGGATCTGAGGAAGAAACACAGACAACGAAATCACGATCGTTCAGTTTAACTAACAAATGTACAAATGCGAGAGATCTGGTTGTGATCAAATGCCATTCAAACCGACCTGATTTGAGAAGCTTCAGCTGCAACCTGAGACGACTGATTTCCAAATCCTTACAACGGCAAATCTCCTCTTTGTACTCGGCTATTGTCTTTTCAACAGCTCCAAATATCTCCTCCGCTGCTGCTGTCAGTCTGTCGTTGAGAAAAGCTTTCAGTGACTGCATTTTGAACATTATTAGAGCCAAGTAACCGCGTTGAGTTGCGTTATTAACGTATTTTTGGCAGTCCGTGAACGTCACGCTTCACTTGTAAACACGGACATGAGACCAGGCCGACGGAAAATGTTCCACTGGAGATACTGCGCCCCCTGGTGGACCGGGGGGCACGGGATTGATTGGCTAAGTGATATATTTAGCAGTTTGCTTTATGTTTTGTTTTTCTTTACTTGTATTTATTTTTCTCAACTGTTGATTTATTCATAATTACTAAAATGGTAATTTTTATTAAAACACATTGTAAATACAGTCGGTCTCTACTTTACATCTGTACAGTATGCTGTAGTCCAATTGCTCTGCATATAAAGTCTGCTTATATGATGCTTGTAATGTAAAGTAATGTAATTATCCTACAGGTGTTTACCCAATTATGTTTTAGCACTCAGGTCATAGTGATAGTGTTGTGCTGGACTGCATTGTATTCAGATGCTCTAATAATTTGCCCCCTTCATGTACTGTATGTAAATTGGAAAGACAAAAAAAAATGGAAAGACCTTTACATATAATGTGATTCAGTAAAACAGCACATGTAACACTGACCTCAGTAATGAAAATACTTCACTTTAAACATTTCCAACAGTGGCACCAAAAAAAAAAAAGGAAAACCCTAAACAAATGAGTGGTCTCTTCCAGGATGGCACTGCCTCCATCCATCCATCCATCCATCCATCCATCCATATCTCTCTCTCTCACACACACACACACACACACACACACACACACACACAACTATATGCAAGGTTTCACTGGAAACTCATGGGATAGACATCAAGGCAAAAGAAAAACAAGAGACACATCGAACCAGCCTCTGAACTGTTTATTAGAATGTTTCCTAACAGCCTTCCAACCCTTCAGCCATGACACAATAGGGGTAAAATGTAATGGACACTTCCCTCTTTACCACCGAGTGACCGGATCATGCTTGTCTACAGGGAGGTCAAAGCCACAGATCATAATTACACAAAAGAGACAACAGTAGTAAAAAGACAAATGTGACTGACAAAAGCTGAGACACTGCTTACAAAAAACAAAAAGTTGGTGAACTTTTCAAGTAAAGGCATGGATGGCCCATCCACCTCAGGGTGTAACCGTCTGTCTTTACAGCTTGAGCACTTGGTGCAGAGATTAGTATGCACACAGACTATTCTCAGTGGACTTGACTCTTTTCAGTGCATGTGTCAACCTGATCCTTTTCCTTAGGACAAAATATATTCAAAAAATAAAGAAAAAAGGAGGGAATGACATCATTACACAAATACTTTTAATAACAAAAAGGGAAGAGGGCTAAGTGCTGAGAGCGAGGGACTGTGAAAGTGGATCGTCTGAATGGAGTCAGCTTCTGACCTGGACACGGTCATGTTGCAGCTGCCTGGGCTTTTATGCTTTGGCATTAATGATGGTGACAAACTCTGGCTTGAGGGAGGCTCCACCCACAAGGAAACCATCAACATCCTTCTGGGAGGCAAGTTCCTTACAGGTAGCACCGGTCACAGAACCTGAGAAGAAGAACAGACTTGTGAGAAGAGATTTCTGTTGGAAATCAAAATGATGATGATTTTTCTGGTAAATACCAAAAGTAGATCTCATCCCTTTAACTGACCTCCATAAATGATCCTCACAGAATTGGCCACATCCTCTGACACATGGGTCTTCAGCCACCCCCTCAGTTTCTCATGAACCTCCTGAGCCTGCAATATCAAGCCAGAAACAGACATGATTATGGTTATAGTAAGAAATGAGTAATCATAAACTGGAAAATATTCAGTGGTTTCCAATATTTACCTGCTGTGGGGAGGCAGTCTTGCCAGTGCCAATGGCCCACACAGGCTCATAAGCAAGCACAACCTTGCTCCAGTCCTTTACATTGTCTGAAAGAGATGTGATAAGACTTAAATTTGTATTTTGCAAGTTTTCCTTTTTCGCACTCTAGCTTGCACAAACGTCTCCTGAAATGTGTATGGCAAAATCTGGACTCCCCCTCATGCATTTAAAACCTGTGGGATTGTCAGAAGCCCTGTACCTGCGATGACCTTGGTCTGTGAAAAGACGACCTTCTCCGTGATGCCGCCCTCCCTCTCATCCAGCTTCTCGCCAATGCAGGCAATCACACCGAGCCCATTCTCCAAAGCATGGGCCGTCTTCTGACCAATGAGCTAACAACACACAGGCATCCAGTCATGAAGTGTGCACAAAATGACGGGTTTAATGAACTCTTGTAGGAAAGGATGCAAGACGACCATTTTCTCAATATTATTACAGACAGTTACAAAGCTGGTGTAACTGAAAGATGATACTCATCCATAACATACTTCATCACTCTCTCCAAAGACGTGGCGCCTCTCAGAGTGACCCAGGATCACCCAGTTCACACCACAGTCCTTGATCATCGCAGGGCTGAGAGAAAAAAAAAAAAAATACAGTCTAATATACCGTGATATAAATTATTAAATAGTTTTTATTTGTGTTCCGAGCCAACAACCGGAAGAGTCTGCAAGTGATCATGGTGCTACTTTTCTGTTCAACCTTTGCTATTTTTGGAGACATGTCCTACCTGATCTCCCCAGTGAAGGCACCATGGGGAACTTTGTAGCAGTTCTGAGCAGCCACACCAAACTTGGGGTCCAACTTGGACCTGACAAAGTCAAGGTAGATTGATGGAGCACCACACACCACCTCTGTTAACACAGAAGATAATGCTTAGGTTATTTTAGAAGATTGATATCTAAAACCAAAAATTACTTTTGTTAAATACAAGATATTAACTGTACATATAAAAGAAACTGATATTAAAGTGGGTGTGAAGGCTAAACTAAGAATTATTCAATTCAATCACAAAATGGTAAACATGGGTTTGTCAGTGGCCACTATAATCACTAAACAACCATGAACTGCTGCAAGTACACAACCACATAATGTACTTTTCCCCCACAGCACTACATCACTTTGGGGATTTAAGGAATAAATTCAATTCCTTTCATTTATAGGCATAAATCAAGAATCCAACAAGCACAGGTCACCACCAAAATTAAGAATTAGGACTAGAAACTGCCATTGGTCTAAAAGTGACTGATAGCTCTTAAATGAACAATAACGTACAGCAAATAAATCCATCTTGTGTTTTCACATTCTATTTGAATTGGTATGTTTTGCACTGTAAGAAACATTTACCCTCAAACATGAGGTTACAAGTCAACAGCAGTATATTCTGCATGGGTCAAGCAGAGTACAGTAAAGTCAAGACACTGACATTCACAATGTAACTGTATCTTTGGGGTCACTAGAGTCTATATTAAACACCTCTGATTACTGGTTTGGTAAAGGTCATTTCTCCCCAGCCACACTCAGGCCCCTCTGCATTAAAAAGGTCCAAGTTCAGCCTCCAAAAGGTCAGCTACAAGGCTGCATTCTGCAGAAGGCAAGAGAAGGCATGAGCCAGAGTTCAAAAGATCAAATAAAACCATGTAAATATCCAACATGAAGAAAATCAGTCTGGGGAGGAAACAGCTGAACTCGGACTTTAAAGCTCAACAGAGAGGCCACTGGGAAAAAAAGCCTGATTGAATTTCAGTCCAACACTGTCGGGGTTGACTCATTATTAATGGAGCAAGGTCCAAGGATAGTCTGAACAGTGACAGTGTGTGTCTGAGCAGCCCAGGCCTGAGACTGGTGTACAAATACAGAAAAAGTTACTCATGCAACTTCACCCATTGTCAAGGCACACAAACACAGAGAAAAACTGTAAAGAAGAAGGTGTGGCAACACTTGGTGTTCCAATCAAATTTAAAAGACCAGCATGACATAAAGCCCTCCTCAGGAAAATACACAAGGAGTTGGATGTTCCATAAATAGTACAAGTATAGGGGGAACATCCAATCACATACACCAGACCCTGAAGAAGGATTTATGCCAAAATATTTGCATTAAAGGTTGGTCAGAACACTGCAAAGTGTTGCCAGGTCTTTTGCTTTTCTGGGACTGGTGTACACCATATTATAGCTGCATAACACCAATTTGCAGGAGGAGCACATCTGGCAGCAGAAACAGGCCTAGACACATTCATTATTCCATTGCTTGTGTTCAGCGGATTATGCACTGAAAACATCTGGTAGTGTATTAATAACACAGCCACATCTGTCCAGTTTGTCTCTCGTATGCAGAATGACAGAAAGCAGGCCAAATGTCTACTGATGCATTCAAGTAGCGATGGCAAAAACCCTCAAAGACGAGGTTACTTCAACTTACCTCCGTGATCGTCAAGTTTCGTTTTCCAGCAGCCCAAAAACTCCTCTTACAGACCTCTTCGATTAACAATGACATGCCAAGGACGCTCGCAATAGGTTACCGTATTGCTCATCTGTTTCTAGCCTCACTTGAACGCACCGTGCTCTTTCACAGCGGAGCGGAGCCACAGACTGGCTGCTGGACTACGTGCTGCTGCAAACGCACACACACCAGCGACATTACTAAAACTCCCTCCGTCTTTTATTCTTCGATTTCTGTCAGTCTGGGGTTCAGTGTTGGCTTAGTTGTCTTAGTGGACGTAACTTTACTGAAGCATGAAGTAAAAGAGGAGGTCTGTGATGCTAATGGTGTCTTTGATTTACCGAATGACCCAGCCATTTTGACTCTGGATGGAAATCCGGTTGTGAAATTAAAAGGGATGAAATTATACGAGAAAGTAACTAAAAAACCTGAAATGTGATATTATACAACAACTGACTAAATTGTTAACCGTACTAAAAGGACATTCGATGTATCGTTAACTATTTTCAAAACCCACTTACCGACATTGGAGTCCAACTTGGCTGCGTTCAGGGTCTGAATGAGATCCCCGAGGCTTTTCTTGTCGCCGTTCATCTTCCAGTTTCCGCCAACGAAGAATTTCCTGGTCATGTTTGCAGAATTTTCTAAGGTGTTTTCTGAGAATTAAACAGAACCGACGAGCTACAAAGATCCACCGTCTCTGGGGCGAGAGAGCGGACGTAAAGAGCGGCTCGGACTATTTATACACAGAGAGACTAAGCCCTCCTTTCGCCCACCTCCATTGGTTAATGGCGACACGCCTGCAAACGCGTATCCCCATTTGAGGAAGTGGAACAGTAGAATGTCGTGCTGCCTTCAAGCGCGGCATGTAAAAGTTTAACCCATATTGAGTTTTATTCGACAAAATCACGGATGTATTATATTCTGTGGACTGGCCTTGTTGGATTCTTGAATTTGTTTATGAATTAACTTAATTGAATCTGTTCCTTTAATCCCCATGGTGTTGTAGTACTGTGGGAAAAAAGTGCATTATGTAGTCTTGTACCAGGAAGTAAACAGTATGTTTTCAAGCAAAAATATCAACATATTCATAGCTCTGGTTTCTCAAATGTGAAAACGTATTTAATGGCATTTCATGATGTCACCAGGCCTTGTAGGATATAGTGATTTGGCATTTATCACTTTTTGATGCACAATAATCGAGATGATATTTGGCAGATTAATCATGAATGAAAATAATCATTAGTTGCAGCCCAAGATATGGAAATATTTCTAGTAATGATTACTTGCTTAAATGCAGCTGAAAGAAACAACATATTGACACAACTATATGAATAAAAAATGAATATGTCCCCTTTGCATGACAAAAATTATTAGTCCTATTTGTTACTTATCACAGACTAGTAATTGTATCAAAACAACAGCTATTTCATTTTTTATATATGTGATCTACACACTTTAATTTGTCAACTGATATATATTTAATTAATTAGAACGTCTTCTACAGAAACGTGCCGTTTGATTGGCTGAGACGACAAAGGTTCCGCCCCCTTTGTGCGTCTTAGTCACTGACTGACTGAATGACTGGCCGCGCATACAGCACTCTGATTGGACCATACTAGACTCAGTTTTGCATACCCAAAATGCACCAACGTAAAATTTGGCCCTTAAACATAGACAGTTAGGTTTTAAATAAGTTAAAGTTGATGTATGTCATAAATACACATTTTATTTTTGTTGTTATTGTTTTCGGAAGTGTGACTACGTGCAGTCAATTTACACCATAACAATGAGGTATGTATGTGTTGTACTAGTAATGTCAGCCTTAAAACAGTATTTTAGGAAATTTTGCTCTTTAGTTAATTCTCCAGAAGGTTTCTCATACAGAGAAGCCCACCTAAACTGTGTAAAATAATATTATATGGTCTGATGGTAACAGAATCGCTATCGGTCAGTAGTTTCATTTGGACGATTCTTTCCCAACTGCAGTCACATGATAGACTTTCACCCAATCGTATTAATATATATATATTCTGCTGGTTTAAGCTAATTTTACCTTTATTTCAGATAAAGAGCACATCACTATTCCAGATAACCTAGGATTAATAAATTCGTCCTTGAAATGCTTCAGTATTGTTTTAGTTTGATAAGAGCATTTCATCCTGAAATTAGTTAATTTCAATTAAAGTTTTAGCTGTCCATTCAGTTTCTGTCATTTGTTCTCGGATGTGTATAAATGGATTGCATTGAACAAACTGCTCAAATGCATGGGCAATACAACTGATTATGATATATGCTTGTATTAATACATTTGTAAAAGTGTAAGAGATAACTGTATACATTATAATACACGTACCTCAAAATGTAACATTTATAGGGATTGCATGGTTGTTTTTTCATGCCACCATGTGGGGGCAAACGTACACTGTTGTAACACGTTTTATATGAGTAGAGAGGGTTTAACCTTCATATATTATATTAGGTACACTTGGGTAAATAATTCATGTTGTGCTGCTATAGACGGAATGCCCGTCATCCACTAGGTCAAATTATTAGCCAAATAATGTGGAAAAATTGCCAGTAACACTATGTGGTAAAGAGGGACGGGGAGGGCATAAGAGGACGGGCTGGAGGTGGAGAATCACTCGGTTTGACTTTGAAGGACGTTGACCCACGAGTGCTTTTAAATGCGGAGTGTGTGTGGATGTCCTCCATGAGTCAGTAGGTAGTGTCGCCAAGAAACGTTTCCGCCCACAAAAAAGATGGCTGCCTCCTTGATGGAGAAATTTGCGGAGTCTTTAGGTTCCCCGGAGCCAGCGGTTCGGTTGATGTTATCAATTTTAATCGGTAAGTTTCATCTCGCGAATCACTTGTTATAGTTAGCCGAGATTACACCAATTCCGGTGACAGGTCTGAGTAATGAACGGCTGCGGATTCTCTGTTTAACTGTCACTGTTAACATGCCACTAACATGCCTGGTACTATGACACATAGCCACAGGCTGCAAATCAGTTGTATCAGTGTCCTGTTTTTTAAAGTAGCTCCAGATTTCTTATGATAAATGAAAGGCTGGCTTCCCCGAACCAACCGTTTAGTTTCCAGAAAGCCTATGAATAAATGGCACACACCCTTAACGTCCAAGTTTCCTGTAAATTACCGCCACCAACGGATAACTCGTGGCTGCTAACTTACATGAAGGGGTTCCTCAAATGTGCTCGACTAGTTTTTAAGGAGGCTTGGGTGTCGTGTCAGATATTGTCCCAGTCTGCCCCCCTCACTTAATTCCCCAGTTGGAGTAGCTAACAAACTACAAATAGTAAAATAGGTACTTAGAAATTAAGACTAGCGAAATATGCGCTCCTTCAGTTTAATGGAAGTAGGATTAGCATGTTGTATGTGCTGAAGTTGGTGAAAACATGAGCTCCGATGTCGATGGGGGAGGGAATGATCTTTGACAGGGAGAATGAGTTCAGTCTGCCTGTGACATGTTGAGTAACCTTTCATTATAGTGCACACGTTCAGTTTAGATTTGATAGCAAGTAGTAACACATAGCTTTGGGACTGGGTGTGGGTGTAGTGGTGGAGAGCGGCCTACATGCTGTGGTCTCTGAACTTTGCCCTGACACACGGACATGTCTTTGTCTCACACATTAACAGTAACGTTACATTAGGCTGAACATAGCCTTTCAGATCAGACAATTGGCTAATGCCTGAAACTGTTCAGCCTGTTGCATTCTCCTTGTACTAAAGTTTCTTAATGTGTCTTTCACAAGAATGTACCAATAACTCTCTGGTTTCACCATGTGGGACTTCAGTGCAATTGCATAGTCAGAATCTTAAAAAAAAAGAAATAAAGAAAGATCTACAGCAACTATAAATCAACTTCTCAAAAATATTTCAAGACTGCATCCAAGTAATTCAGTTGATTAGCTCTATAGCAGATTTATTGAATTGCAAACACTTGGAAAGGATAAGGCCAGTGTTATTCATTTGTTTTTCGCCAATCTCATGAAAGAAACATTGTTAATCTGTCTCTCAGTAATATGAGACTTCTCTTCTTTGTTTGTTCACCCCTCAACCTCTTTCTCATGCAACAGAAGCAGATGGAAACTTGAATGGTTTTTACATTAAAGATTAAATGAAGCACTTTTTTTATAATAAGCTGCAAAAAAAACTGTTACAGTGCATGTGAATATTATATCCCTCACTCAAACGGTTGAGCTGTTGAGCCAGTGAGCTGTTTGGTATAATAATGTAGGCTATGAACAATTAAGCTGTGAACAAGCACAAGTCAATCTAAACTGGTCAAACCTGAACAACATGATCACAGGTGTTTAATCTTTCCGCAGTCCTACTGGGTAGAGCGTGCAGGAGGCAGGACATGATGCGGTCATATAGCCAGTTTGTAATTTGGTCATAAACCATCGAATCTGGCAATTCTAGTGCCGGCTCTTAATGACAGAAGTTCCCGAATCTCCCCGTGTTTCCGGGGAGCTGGCAAAGTCCAGGTCAACTGACTCGGACATTTGTGTTCTCACATACATCTCCCCTGGGTAATGTCTAAAGAATTTCAAGGTTCTGGTGCCTGTCTGAAAGGAGCTTTATCTGATATTAAAGCACATAACTTTATCTCTGCTTCACGCTGTTCCTCTGTATTTCTCTATGTCTCTCCTGCAGGGTATCCTTGTGCTCTGGTGTACCGGAAGTTCTTGTTCTATCAGCCTGCCACAGTCATCCACTTGTTCCACACGTTCTCTGGACTGGCTCTAGCAGCATTCAACTTTGGTGAGATGAAGCGTGAGGTTAGGAGCATGTGTTAGTGGTGGAAAGGCTATATAGACATTATTCAGCTATCAAAAAAGCATTAATTGTGTATAATTATATTTCATTTCTGTACCTGGTTTTCTAAATTATCTTATGTGTAGCATTTGAGATTTGTGTCAGGCCTTCTTTAAGGCTGCCCTGTGGAGCTTTTTTGTAATGTTATGTTGATATTCACTGTCACTCACAAAAATGCATTGTATGTCCTTGAGTTCTAATAAATATGTTGAATTTTTTTTTAACGTTTTGAATTCTGCATAGTTTGTATCCATGTTCACTCTCTAGCAGTCTTCTTCTCTGTATTTACATAAATGTTTTACGGTATTAATTGCAATGTAAATAGATTTCTGCTACTGAGTAAACGTATATTTAAATGAAACTTAAATCATTTTTGTTTTGATTGTTCATTGATAAGTTTTCACTGAGAGAAGAGAAGGATGTGTGATAAAGGAGCAGCGGAATATATTTTATCTTTGAAATGCTGTAACATCCGGGGGAAACACTGGGCAAAGTAACTTTGCCCTACTTATGTTGAACTCAGGGCTGTCTAACTGACAGCCAAGCTAAGACGTGTGCTTATGGATGAATCATCAACTGCTGTGGAGCCACTGCTGGGTTGTTGAGGAAGTGGTAACAGGCTACCAGCAGGCTGGACGTTTCCCTTTTAATGTTATTTTATTAAAGCTGCTCATACTCCATTCCTGTGCAGATGAATAAGCAGCACACTGAGAGGTGCAACTAATTATTTTCATTATAGATGAATCAGTCCAATTAATTTATTAGTTGTTTGGTCCATAAACTATTGAAATAAGTTCTCAGAGGTTGAGGTGACATTTCCAGATTGCTTGTTTTGTCCTACCAGCAGGAACAAACCCCAAGATATTCAATTTAAAGCTGCAGTGATTGATCAATATTTTATAATTGATTATTATTTTTAGTAATTTTTTTTTCTGCAGCAGTGCTGAAAATTTGCTGGTCTCAGTTTCTCAGATGCAAATGTTTTATACTTTTTGTCCACCGTATATAACAGTGGACTAAATATTCAGATAAATAAATAAAATTGATAATAGGAATAGTCCTTAGTTGCAGCCCTAATTCAGTTATTATTCTCAAAGACTAAGAAAACCAGCAAATATTCACAACTGAGAAGCTGAAGCCACAAAAGCTTTGGCAGTTTGATTAATAAATGTCTGATAATGAAAATAGTTCTGTAGCAGGTATCTTCGAATTAAATGAATAATCATTTCAGCTCTAGAGTAAACTTTTATTTCTAAACTTCCAGAGTGCTCCTGCAGAGAGTGACTGGAGCTTCCTAAACATCACTAACATTGATTTCTTTCTCTTTTGTGTATTCTCTTGTGGCTGCACTTGGATTTTACAGAAGGTCTGTTGCTTTATCTTTTTCCTCGTTGAATACTTTTTTGTTTTCTCTAATCCTCTCTGATAGCGAGTTTCGAGTCTGCGTGTCATGTCTTTGCCACATTGTCCTCTCCGTCTCTGCCTATATTAAACTGGGGAAGAAAATGCTGTTGTCACATTCAGTCCTACAGGTCCCACTTGACTGCACTCACCATCTTCCCCATCCCCCCATCTCTCTCTTTCCCAGGCTCTCAGATCTATCACTCCGCAGTATGCGTCCTTGTCCAGTTCCTGATGCTGAGGCTCATGGGAAGGACAGTAACAACTGTCCTGAGCAGCTTTCTCTTTCAAATGGTGAGACATCCCTGTGTTCCTTTTTCTTTCCTCTCTGTCTTTCCATGCGTCCAGGTTTATCTTCTAGCATCAGCTCCCTTTTGTGCACTGTCAGAGTTTTACTGCAGCAGCTTAGGTGCTGCCCGCCAATTTGCCTGCACAGTCTAGACCTCATTTCTACATCTGCAGTCTGCAGTTTCCTTAAATTGCCTTGTTAATGCTTACACCTTGTTTGTCCACCAAGGTCAGTAATCCTATGATGTAGTCATGTGTTTCCTGTAGAAATATTGGAGCCTTTATTTTTTGCATGTTATTGCTTTTTATGCCCACACTTTCAGAAATATGACAATGAAACCAGCTTTTTAAGCAGAAATGTGCCCACAGGCCACTTCCCTTGAATTGTTGTGGCAGGTTTCTGTTGTCAGCCTGTCCTCTTGACATTTTCTGTTACTTAGAACTGTGATAAACCTAGATTAGACAATGCAGAGTTTTGCTAGGTGAGTGTTTTTGTTTTAATTCTTCTTTCCTCTCCGTCATCTTCCTGTAGTTATACCTGCTGGCAGGGTATTACTTCACAGCTACAAAGGACTATGACATCAAGTGGACCATGCCTCATTGTGTCCTCACACTTAAACTTATTGGTAAGTGGGCTATAGTTCTGTTTGCCCTATTCTATTTAACAAACCCAGCTGTTTTTTTTTTTTAAATAACAGTAGCGGTTTCCTCTGTGTTTAATTTTTGTTGTTGTTGTTGTTGTGGTGATCTCCCTCTTTACTGTAGTGAACAATTAATGCACTGATGAACTGCTGACAGGGCACCTGCATGTTTTAAACTGTTCATTGAAATGATCACGACAGCATTAGTCACCCTAACATACTAGTTTCTGATACCAGTTGCATTTTTTGATTGCAGGTGTGTCACTTGATTACTATGACGGTAGGAAGGACCCAGTGAGTTGGTTGATCTCTCTTGCCTTTGCCTGCTTGATCAGTCATCACTTATTTGTTGTCTGTCTCAGGGTGGTTTTGAGTTTTGCATGTTTATTTTTATGTTGTGTTTTTTTTTTTATTCAGTTAGACCCTATATTGTCATTTCCCAAAACTGAGTTTTTGATAGAATATTCAATTGTTTTCATCACTAGCAGGTAGATGAACGCTATGTACAAGTCAAAACAAGTAAAGTGTCATGAATACATAATTTATACAAGTTGTTTTATATCAACAGACATACTGTATATTCAGATAGGTCTGTAGGAGAATAAATGAAAGATGTAAAACCAGCATAGCTATTCGGTACATTCAGCATAAATGTAGTGTTGGGGAATCTGCCCCTCCTTCATTTGGAGAAGGCAATGTCGTATCCAAAATACTGTAACAGAGGACCAAATAAAGGGGAAAGAAATGCAGACCTTATGTGATAAAGTAAGATTGTCGCAGTATATATCTAATGTATTGCGACATCAGTATTTTGTGATGCGGAAACCGAAGGTGTCGTAGAGATAGCTAGGCCATTATGAATACAGCAACATCCATTAGGGTATACACGGTATCATCATATTGTCCCAGTGTGTCCTTTATTGTTGTGTCCCTGACCCAACTTCAACTGTTAGTAGATCAGCTTTTACTTTTCCCCCATTTTCACTCAGTTTAGTAGTGCTTGGGTTTTTGGGTTTTTAGTTCAGCCAACACATTTCTGACAACTGTTAATTGCCCCTTCTGCTGCTTTTTCTTTTAATCAGCACCAAAGCTGTGTTTTCCATTTGGTTTTATATTTATATCTGTGTAAAATCTTCTAGATCTACTGTCATTATCACCAAGTGAAGCTTTTTAGTGCAGAGTTTAGTCTGCAGCTAAATGCCAGTTCATACAGTAGCATATGTGGTGAGTATTTAGTGCAGTGATATTGAGTTTGTGGTCAGTGAAAACTGTGGTCATTTAACTAGATCCATCCTGGCCTCATCAGTGGGCTTTTAAAATGCCTGCTATTCTATTTGTCTTCTCTTCCTCATCTCCCTTCATCACTCTTTACTGTCTTGTCTTCTTTTTCTTTTTTTATCTTCTCATGTTCTTAAATTTTAGTCCCAGCTAAGTTTAGAGCAGAAGAAAGCAGGCCTGTTGTCTGTGCCCTCTCTGCTCGAGATGTGTGGCTTCTCCTACTTCTACGGAGGCTTCCTGGTGGGGCCTCAGTTTACACTGCGCAGCTACCAGAGGCTGGGGGGGGGGGGGGCGCCCCCATGTCCCTCGCCCTGGAAAACCTCCAAACAGGTTAAACAGTGAGAAAATGATGAGTGATAACCAGAAAAAGAGCTGAAACATGATCTTTATTACATTTCTATTTAAAAATAGAAAGCAGCAGTTGAGTGGCACAGCCCTGCTGTTAACATTATTGCCTTCTTTTCTCCCATCCTCATCTTTGTCTTTTGTTTTCTCTCAGTATTATACCAGCCATGAAGAGGTTTGGTCTGGGGTTCGTCTGCGTGGTGATATATGCAACGTTTAGTCCCTATTTCCCAAACAGCTACTTCCTAAGTGATGAGTTTGCGGTGAGAATGACAAATTCATACATCTTCCAAGTCAAAACACCAGGATGTGTTTGTCATCATCTTAGAGTAAATTTGTGTTCTCTCCGCAGGCTCAGCCGTTCTGGTATTGCTGTGTGTTTATTCTGCTTTGGTCTAAAGTCATGTTGTATAAATATGTCAGCTGTTGGATTATAGCGGTAAGTAGCATCTCGATCTCCAAATATTTGAAAAGTGGTGTTGTGCCTTGATGGCAGAAGGTTAACAGCTACTCGTTTTGTTCTTAGCTAAACACTTTCCATGTCATAGCATTAACAGTTAAACATTGTTCCTTGCGTACACTCAAATGTGCATCCATATATTTATTTATGACACACCCTGATCCCAGTTTATCCGGTTCTTGTGCTTTCTGGTATGATACGACAAGCAAATGAAAAAAATGTGTTTTGTGTGTTACAGGAGGGCGTATGTATATTATCTGGCCTAGGCTACAATGGTGTAGTGGATGGTAAACACCAGTGGGATGCCTGTGCCAACATGAAAGTGTGGCTCTATGAAACCACACCGCTTTTCGGAGGAACCATCGCTTCTTTCAACATCAACACAAATGCCTGGGCTGCCAGGTCAGTGTGGAACCTGAAATCTCTAGCTAGTATTCTAAGTGGTGTTGTAAAAGTTTAAATATTTACTTGATGATAATAGAGAAGTAGAGGGAATGAGAGTCCAATCCAGTATGCATATGTGGCAGGAGAAGCCTTGTATCACACTCCAAGGCCTCTGTCTGTGGTTTAGTTTACCAGCCGGAGCATCCACGCAGAGAGGGAGTGACATCCTGGCGGGGGTTTAAAAGTTTGCAGTTTTTGGACAATTACACTTTTCCAGCAGGAGCTTTATGCATGAAATTCTTTGCACATGTGGTGCCATTTGTTGATGACCACAGTAAGCAAAGCAATTTACTCAACATAAAGTTTATTACATGGTCCATTTCAGTTGAATGCATTAGCCACATGAGATTAGCTTTATGTTCTGCTATTCAAGGTTGCATGAGATACAGAGCGTTGGGAATGGAAGTACTGGAAATATAAGTTGCTAGGATGTAGAAATATTTTACCAGGTAACTAATAAGGAAAATTGAGTGATATTACAGTGTGCTGCATAACTGAGTGATTATCCCTTCAGTGTTTGACCCACAAAAGTCAATTTATAGCTGCATGTGAACCTCGTGACTCTGTTAGCACTTGTTTAAGCAGTTCAGTGATAAATGGGCTCAGGTGATATTATGTTAGATTGTTGCTGTATTTCTTTTGTTAAGCATTTGACTTCATATAACATGCATACAGTAAGTCAGAAACCAGTGTGTATCAGAGAACCTTTATTAACTGATATAAGAAGAACAGTGTTTGTTATATCGGCCATCGTGAGTCAAATTTCCCACCAAATGTGGCACAAATTTTAACTGACTTTCCAGAAAATCTGCAAAATAAAATGCCACTTCATGTGCATTTGCATCTACCGCTGTTGTGTAGATATTATAAGTTGGTTCATTGAGATAAAGGGCTGTGAGATGATGTGATTAAAACCTGAAACGGTGTGGAAAACGGCACAAATATTTTTCTTGTATTAATTTGAGGAGCGTTAGTCTCCACAGTGTGCCCCACAGATCTGCTTTTATCTCTCCAGTGGAACAGAGGCTTCAATGGGCGTATAAGTCATATGTTTCGTGACACTTGATTGCAGTAATGTTTGCTCCAGCTCAACTCCACAGCATAAGAGAAAAGTCCAGATCCTGTCTCCTCTACACACCTGGTCACCTTCTGTGTTAAGTGGGAACATGCTTGTCAGTTACTCAGATTTGCAAAGTTAAAACAAAAATTTACTGTAACCCCCAAGTCTCACATTAGAAAGGCGAAAGGTTTACAGTAGATGCTGTTAATAATCTGACAAGGACTTTGTTTTGAAGCATCCTGACGCCTCATTGGCAGTAACTGTAGCAACACATTTAAATAGTACTGCGTCATGTATTCATTTGTCTGCCCCTGCTTTCTACAGATAATACTGCAGCTTGTCGCAGTGTGCTGTCAGAAATAAATTGCTTTGGGGATTGAAAACATAATGTGTGTGCATTTGCCTAAGATATTATCACACTATACTGTGGGCCACCGTTGAAATCATTGAATCTACCCTTGTAGAGGATGTAAAGTTGTTGTCATGCAACAGCAACGTTCTTGTGAGTGCTTGCCAAGTACACAGTGATAGATGATACCTTAAAGATTTCTGATTGCTCTCATCTAGATTTACTGTTGAAAATAAAAGCTGATAAACTCTTGACTTGATTGTTTCTCTTTTCTTTTAAGACAAGTCTTCAAGCGGCTGAAGTTCCTGGGCAATAAGATGCTGTCTCATGTGACCACACTGTTGTTTTTGACAATTTGGCACGGCCTTCATTCCGGGTACTTCATGTGCTTCTTCATGGAGTTCCTCATCATCACTGTAGAGAGACGGGTATGGAGATGGCTAACCTAATATTAATTATGTGCAGGAAGCTAGAGCCATCAGGGTATTTACTTCAGTAGGTGGAAAATGTGTTATTTCTCTTCTCTTTGAAAAGGTTTTAAAAAGTGTCTTCATTATAAAAATCAGTTGTTATTAGATACCCAAGATACCCACTGTCTGAATGTACTTGAAACACAGACTATTTGGCATCGGTTTATTATGTAACCATTCTTTTATATGATGGGATGTGTGTGTGAGACAGGTCCAGGCACTAGTGACGGACAGTCCCTTGCTGACGAAGCTAGCGAACAGTGCACTCTACCCTCTCATCTATGTAGTCCAGCAGATTATCCACTGGTTCTTCATGGGTTACTCCCTGGTGCCATTCTGCCTCTTTACCTATGACAAATGGCTCAAGGTAACTCACAACTTTACAACACAGTCATAGGTTAAATGTGACCGTTATCAGTTATGTCATTAAGCTTTGGGTCTTCTTTTGACTTTTGTGTCATCTTTGTTTTCCAGGTGTATTCATCCATCTATTTCTGTGGACATGTATTCTTCCCCGCAGTCTATTTAGTCATACCGTACCTCCGTAAGGTGCTGGTGCCTAGGAAGGAACTGAGCCAGAAAAAGCAGGAATAGGTACTTTGCATGGTAAGAAAGTGCAAGCCTTATTTGTTTCAGTCAGTTGTGATAGAGAAAAATGACAAGCTGTGAAAGCTTTTTGTTTTTTTTGCCTTCCAGGTCTGTCTAAGGCTAAAAATTGACTGGAGGGGAACTGTGATTTTCAAGGAGCAGAATGGAAAATATTTTAAGGCCTTTAGTAATATAAATATATGTCCTTGTAAAAATAAATTTCTATATATTTTTGCGTTTTAAATGGGAAGAGTGTTTTTATAAACATTTGGAAAAATGTTTACAGGAAATTACCATTGTGCCACATGGAGTTATTGTGAGCCAATCAGGGGCGATTTCCTGTTTCTTTTTTTTTTTTTTTTTTTTTTCTTAATTTTACTTTGAGGCATGGGACTTGTAGAACTTGAAAAACTTAAATGCTGTTGACACAGAATTGCGTTCACCACTCTGGGGTCCATACTTGTCATTGGAGCCAATGTGTGTGTTTCATTTCTCTATGGCATGTCTAGCAGCAGCAGTAAGCCTCTGCAGGAGGTTTAAGCACATGTCAGCAAACGTGGCACTAATGTAATAACACAACATACAGCACATGCTGCTTTCTGTAAAAGACACAAAATATTTAGGGGGTTTTATTTCTTGAAAATGGCTGCCAGTGGTTACACAAGCACTATAAATCACACACTATACACTGAGACTTAAAATGGCCTTGTATTAATGAATGTTTTTACACTAATTTGGTTTGATGATGGAAAGAGCGTTTTCACAGCTTTTATGAAAGAACATTTTGTAGCTGTGGATAAGATTTCTAGCATTTGCATTGTTCCACTGTGTTTCCTGTTTTGATGCTTTAGTTTTTCCTTGCCATATGTTGTCTTCTTCATCTGTTTGGTCTGCACCACTCCTCTGTCTGCCTTGATTCCAGCCTGCTTCTTCGCCCTGAAACATACAGATGTGAATCAGTTCATAAAGAGACACACATGCACACTGCCCAACCATATAGTGGCTGCAGTTTATTGTTTGGCTTATCCTATATTCAACTTGTCTCTCTAAAGCACCCTTGGGCCATGTTTTTATTATTATTTTTTAAATGAGGACTTGTCTCACGTTGAACTGGAAGACAAAAAAATGTGTTAATTTGTGTTCATCCTCAGTGTCATCTGTTCTTCTTTTTCTGTTAGCAGGTGATAATTAAAAAGTGTGAAGCAGAAGCATCCCACCCCTTGGAGGGAATGCCGTTTTATTTGTATTTAACTTTCTGGGGGCTGAATTGTCTGATCCATGGGATGCTGGAGGAAGGCCCAGTGCTGCTGCTGCTGCCTTACCGTCGCTGATGCTGACACACACTCCCACATGGCAAGCAAGCAAGCAAAGTTTATTTATATAGCACCTTTCTAAACCTGCGTTACAAGGTGCTTTCCAGTAAAACATAAACAACTAATAATAATAATAAAGATACCTAAGACCAGATAAAACACATCTATACAGTAAAATAACAAGAAAAATACATAGTCAAAACAAATACATCAATCAATAAAATTGTCGAAGGCCCATGAATACAAATGCGTTTTAAGAAGTGATTTAAAAACAGACAGGTTCGGAGCAGATCTAATCTCCCATGGCAGATCATTCCACAGTATAGGAGCCCGAACTGAAAAAGCTCAGTCTCCCCAATGTTTCCGTCTGGACTTCGGCACTTCCAGGAACAACTGGTTCGAAGACCTAAGTGTCCTTTCTGGAGTATAAAAGCGCACAAGCTCAGAAATATATGAAGTTGCCAGACCATGTACAGCCTTATAGACAAACATCAACAATTTAAAATCAATCCTAAAACGAACAGGAAGCCAATGCAGTGAGGCAAGGACTGGAGTGATATGGTCATGGTGCCGTGTATTAGTTAAAAGACGAGCTGCTGCATTTTGGACCAACTGTTTTCATAACATGGGGAGGATGAACCTCACTGTAGCAACAGCCCAGAATTTAGTTCTATTTATACATGACATGGTGATTATTAATTGATGTGAAATGCTATTTCAAGAGACTACTCTTTGCCTTATTCCTACCAAATGTACATTGGGAAAAGAAATCGGGATGGATTTGGTTGGAGGGATTTTTCCAATACACTTTTATAATGTTTATTAAAATGCTGTATTTCAAAGCCAGGACTCTGTGGTTTGTCTGTGTGTCTGTCCCGTGGCCTTCATCTGCTTGACAGGAGCACAGGGCAAAAAGGGGTGATATGACGTCATTTTGCAGTCTCTTTATGGGGGTGCTTTAGCTGTGGGAAATGAGGACGTTAATAACAAAATAGGTGGGACAAGTGTGAAGCAGGCCTGGCCCACTACTGAAAACAAACGTGATGAGATAGATTGGTGTGTCGGGGTCTGAGTCACTCTCAATGTGCGTTCAACAGCAAAAAGCAGCCAGAGCAGCAGTCTGGTACCGAGCAGGTGGGGGCCGGAGAGAGAGGGAGAAGGACGCAGTGTGGGCGGGTTGAGAAGCGTCGAGAGGAGGGAGGGGACGCCAGCGTAATATTCCAACCGTGTTGTGTCCCTCTTCTCAGTAGAGTCGAAAAACAAGGACATTTGTCGGTGTCTTAACCCTCCTCACCTCTCATCGAGTCTAACGTCAGGCTGATATACACCCTGTCATTTCTTGACCTGCTGCTGAAGACTGTCTGTGCGTGTCCTCTGCCCGGAGGTTTGGTTTGCTTTCAGCCTGCGGGAGATTGGCGAGCGGCAGGGGCGTGAGAGGCGGATGCTGCGAGCGTAGAGGCTGGGTACCAACCAGGAGCATCACCGGACTCACCACGGTAATGTGTAATCGGCAGGTTTCTGCCTCAGCTTACCTCCATTTCTGCGACATTTCCTCTCCTGACTCTAGTATGATGATGATAAACTAGAATATGGTTGTAGTCAACCATGTAGCCTTTAATATGTGTCAGTACCAGCTGGTAATGTAAATCGGCTGATTACTGTCGCATAGCATGTTTCTCTGGTCCTGGATGTGTGCGTGTGTAGTCTGAACGACCTGTGAACTCTCATGTTATAACCTATATCTCCTCGTTTTATTTTTATCTGTGTGTTTTGTTGCCTATCAAGGACTGCAGCAATGGAAAATGCTTATTATGTCAATGAGAGCTAAAAACCCCTAAAGACACATTTTTCATTTGTGGCTACTGCCACAAGACAGCTGTTACATTTTTTGGACCTAACAAACCACAATTAAACGTGCACAACCACGTGCAAAACCTATTTTAGTGACACACTCACGACCTGGTATGTGCATGCTCTAGGCTATTAGGCTCAGCACCTGCAAGCTGTCTTTTTGAGGAAGGCCAGAATACAGCATTATGGTGGGATTAGTGGTCTGTTTATGCTGATTCAATATGCGGCTCTAAATGTAGTTCAATAGGCCTCCACCAAAGGTTACAAACACACACTTTAGTAGTTTTAGATTTTGTTGCACAAACAGAAAGGTTAGACCACCTGTGTACCACCTGATAGGCCTGATCTGTCCGTCTCTCTTTCTGGCTTGTTTCTGTACCTGTCTGTCTCTTCCAGTTGTTGATGTATATACTTTATTCACACCCCCACCTACCCCACTCTGTCACCCCCACTACCCGGACTTTTTCTCCCTCAGATGGACAGAATGAATTTTCTCTCCTTCCTCCTCCTTTGCTTGACTTCGGTTGCCAATGGCAACAAAGGTCAGTCCTTCATCCTTCTTACTGTTTTTGTGTTAAAGGTGTTGATATGATGTTTTACATCACCATGGGAGCACACCGACCTGTCAAGGTTTTCAGATTGTTTTGCCCTGACTTTATTGCTATCTGTGATATTTGTCATAAATAGAAGTAGCTTCAGTTTCATTACATAAACGGTGTATTTGAGACTGCATATTTACATGTTTAAACATTTTGTGTTTCTTCTTCATGACCCATCATGCATGTATCTATTTCATCAGTGCTTGGACTCTGAGAAGATGATAAATCTACTCCCCTATCTGTAGCAGGTTTATCATCCTGGATGAACATGACTCTGATTCAGCATCATTGTTTCAGTGATTATCATGCTGGGGGAAGGAGAATGAAAGAGACAGCGTGGATGGAGGATGTCAGAGGAAGAGGTAGAGGAGAGCGAAGCAGAGAAGACAAGGAGATTGAAGGAGAGATGGTGTGTCAGGGAAACAGAAAGGGGGAAGAGAGCAAGACGGGGGTAATGTTAGGAGAGACAGAGGAGAAGGAGCTGTGACAAGAGAGGACGTGGCTGAAAAGATGCAGGACGACAGGGAGGAAGGAGGTGCAGAGAAAGGTGGTACAAGAGATCAGGTGACAAGAGGGAAAAGGGAAAAGTGCAAGATACTGGAGTGTTTGGGTTAATATGTGTGTGTGAGGAGACAGACGAGGAAGGATGTGTGAGTGATAGAATGACAGAGAGAGGAGGCGTGCCAGGGGGACAGAGAGAGATGGAACAGGATGCTTCTCAATCTGTAATCCCGGGTGTAATCCACAGGGACTGATGGTCAGATTATAGAAGAGCACAGGTGGGAGGGAATAAATTGTCTGAGGGGACAGAGGCCAGGGGATAAATGACCAGAAAAGAGACAGCAGTGGACTGTGGAAATAGAGGAGGAGGAAACAGCGTCATGCTGGACTTCAAGAGGAGAGGATGAATATTAATCAGGGCTTGGTATTGAACCTCAATGCTTTTTTTTTATTGGATCCAAATGTGTCTGAAGTATGTAGTATCAAAAACTGTGTGGTATGGTTATTGGTATGTGAAACTCAGACCATCTCCAACCATTTAATTATTCAGTAATCTGTCAATTATTTTGGCAGAGAATAGTTTAAAATGGCAGTCACAGTTCTCTAAAGGCTAGTTGTCCAACCAGTAGCCCAGAAGATATACAGGTTATAAAGACAAATAAAAGCAATGACACAATGTTTGCTGAAAAATTAATCATTTATTAAAAAAGGTTTCTGATAATTCTTTTGTTGATTGACTAGTTAATTAGCTAAACATGTCAGTTCTATGACTTTTAGTAGTATTCAAGGTGTTAGCAGTAGAATTAGAAATATCAGCAAAATGTGTTTATAGTCTCAAAAGTAAAAATGGTTCTTAAGCAGCATGTTAATATTGGAGCTGCTCAAGACTGACCGCATTTTAACAAGCAACATCTTTCGACAAATAAATGTATTTGACTAAAAAGTACAATATTATATTATAAAGAACACAAAATAAAGTACAACAGTTCCTTATAAAGTGGAGCAGAGTACTTGTACTGTATAAAGTAACATAAATGTAAATACAAAAGTAAAGTACCTCAAAATAGTTTTTTAAATAAATGTACTTACCTAATTTTCACCAATGAGAAAAGCATATTTATATATTGTATTCATTAGTAAGATGCTGAAAAGGTATCAATTTGATGTTCCTACCAAAACTCTGTTTTCCTATCAGCTCTATCATTGTCAAACTTTACTCAATGTCTTTGAGGACAGAGTGGTTTGATCAAATCCAGAACCAGCTGCATTTTCCTCTGTTGACTCTTAGCTCATAGATGAGATGGCAGAATTCATTCCACTCAGATTTTCAGAAAAATTCACTGTGAAGACAACAAAGCAATTGCTAAACATGAGTCTTGTTCCTCTGTCTGATTTCACTGCAGTTCCAGTGTTAAAAGACTGAAGACAACGGAGGGAAGGTACTCCAGTTTCTGTCTCTGCTCTTCGGTGGAGTGTAAAATCATCATCCTTCTGGCTCATTAACTTGGCCTTTGATTGTTCAGCATGGAACATTCAGCACACGGATGAATAATTAATATGCAATTAAAGGTTAAATTCACAGTAAACCTCAGGCTCTTGATTCTGACTCGGTTGTTTTTTAGTGCATTGTTGTGCAGCACCTGTGGCAGGCCGGTTAGGCTGATTGATATAAGCAATATACCTCTCTCTGTGTGATAAGGGCGACATCTGACTGCCTTTAATTATACTGCCAAGCTGGAAGGTGTGCAGAGTGGTGCTTGACAGAAGGTGGTCTCTATGAAGAAAGGAAGGAAATCTGTGAGGGTGTGAAAATGTTTAAACTGTGTCTTTGTGGTCACACACATGCATATGTCTATATTTCCATTCATACACACTTTCACCATATCCTTGCCCATAATAGAGGGTTAAAAATAGACACGTTGGTTCCTTCTAATTGCTCCATTTAACCCCAAGCCTCTTTGGTCTCTTCTCTGTGTCGTTCAGCCAATAAGCACAAGCCATGGATTGAGACAGAGTACCAGGGGATTGTCATGGAGAACGACAACACCGTGCTGCTCAATCCCCCACTCTTTGCCCTGGACAAAGATGCTCCACTTCACTATGCTGGTAACACCAACAGCCATAAACAACGTGAAAGAATATAAGAGGAGTGAACTGGCAACAAACACAAATTTGTTTGAAAGAATTGGCTGCTGTGAAAAATAAGCCAAATCAAACTGAAAATCATTTCTTCAGGCCAACTTGAAAATGATCTAAATACAGTTTTGAGGACAGGGTGATGCGGTAGCTGTGTGAGCAATGTGAGAATATAATTTATTTATAGTAAAAATGATGCTGATTATTATAGAGATATGTTTAATGATATTGCCAACCATATTTCCCAACAGAATCTAAATATTAAAGGCAGTGTATTCAGTCGCAGAGTCCCCTATTTTTAGACCATTATAGTGTAATTCAACCCTTCATTGCAGGAGCAGTCAGCAGCACTCTGCCTCTGCAGCCTGATGAAATAAGGTTATCGTATTTGCACTCGGAGACCTGGAAATAACCGTGTTCAGTCAAATTATAACAGATCAGCCAGAATTACTCAGGGGTGCTCTGAAATTTATAAGGCTCACATCAAGAAGGAAGAGAAAATTAGCTGTTTGAGCGTGACTCTTCCCAACCTTCAAATTATGTCAGCCAGGGAAGATCAATTGTTATTCTAAGGGGTTTATTTTGAGTATCAGCTGAAATCTGCTTTATTCTATTCTTATTGTAATTGCCTCCGTAAGATTAAGTGCCATTTAAAGGAATCTCCAGGTATTTGTTGGCATTTCTGAGGCTCAATGGTTGACCTAAAATCTCCTGACTGCTACAGTAAATAGCCATTATTAGTTCAATACTGATAAATCTGGTTCATTTCTAATTTGTTTGTCCTAAATAATGTAGCGGTACTTAGAGGCTGTGGATGTTTGGACTGGATTTGTGGGCTGATTGTTTGGTTGAATTTCTGATTATACGTCACTGGTTGCTGTAGCTGTAACCTCAAATTGTGGAGCACATTTTAAAACAAAGTTAAGAAGTGTATCATTGAAAAAAAACAGGGACAATAACATTTCAATAACAGAAATGAGGTGTCAGACACAGAAGGACTACTTAATGCAGAAATCCAAGTATAAATTCAAATGAAATTGAGTTTTTAGCCTAGACAATAGACTGATGGATTGCTTCTTGTAGCAGGTCTTTTTTTAATGAAGAGTCTGAGGGTGCATGAGGGCGCCAGGGCTCACAGGAATTTGCTGGAGCCTGACAATGGAGGAGTTTAAAAAAATAATGAGTAAAACTCTTCTGAAATCAACTAGAGGTTAATACAAAGAGGCTAAAATGAATGTTAGGGAAAAACAATCTCTCTTTTTTGTTCTCAGGAATATGTTTCTAAAGTCAAAGAAAGATTTAAAAACATTTGAAGCAACGTGATATTAATAAAGATTGTATAATCATACAGGACTCAGACTATGAATTTATAGGATTTGTAATGCGAAAATTCTGTTTATGGGCTAATGTGATTTCACCCTCCCAGGTGAAATCTGTGGCTTCCGGGTTCATAATGGCCCCTCGGGATCAGGTTCAGTCCAGTTTGAAGCAGTGGTTCTGGACCGCTCCACTGGTGAGGGTCTGGTCCGATCCAAGGAGCCGCTGGACTGTGAGAGCCAGCGGGAGCACAGCTTCACCATCCAGGCCTACGACTGTGGAGAGGGACCTGACGGAGTCAACAGCAAGAAATCCCACAAGTTTGTCCAACCTCTCCTCTTCCTCCTAATTTAAATAGAAGATATTTCATGTTTTTAACAGTAATTACAGTCCCTGTCTGAGGTTTCCTCTGGCTCTGCACTATAAAGACTATCCAGCCATTTCTACTTCCTGTTGTTACAATGATTCTTTCCTCTCTGCTTGTGTTTTGCTTCTCACTCCTCAGGGCCACTGTGCATGTTCGTGTAAACGACGTCAATGAGTTCTCCCCCGTGTTTGTTGAGCGTCGCTATGAAGCATCAGTCCCAGAGGGGCGTCTGTTTGACCGAATTGTGCGTGTGGAAGCTCTGGATGCCGACTGCTCCCCGCAATACAGTCAGATTTGCTTCTATGACATCATCACTCCCAATGTACCCTTCGCTATTGACAACGATGGTGAGATACATTTCATCTTGCAGTTGTAAATCAAAGCCTACTGGACTCGTAGCTCTGTTAATATTTGTCATTCTCTGCAACAGAAATACAATACCCCTACTAGTCACCATGTTATTTTGCTTATCTGCTGTTCTGAATGGCCTTGTTTGCAAGTACAATGTAACATTCAGTTCAGAAGTGAACTCCGAAAAACTCTGGATGCCCTCGGTATGAAAAGACACACCAGACAATATCTGCATAATGACAGAGTGAAAAGAACTGCAGGTGCTAATTCCTCTCCCAGGTAGGAACCAAAAGATGCTAAAATAGATTTGGAGTGGGTGCGTAAACATTACAGCAGCTCTTTGGTTTAATATAGCATTCTTTTGTTCCCGGCTGCTCGTAGATTTCCTAAATTCTAGGATGAATGATACAGATTGCTATTGTATTCATTGACTAGTTGGTGGGAGATCAATCATAGGCTTTTTGTAATGTGGCACAGCAGCTGAGGAGGTCCCTGTTTTAGGATGACTCTGCAGAACTGTCCTGGACTTTGCAGAGATTTTGCAGAGGATGAGTGGCTCCTTTCTTTTTTTGGGTCCGTCTGGTACCGCGGCACAGAGATCTTTTGTTCCAACCTTAAGCTTGTCATTGTCTTTTCTGTTGCTACTGCTATCTCTTTCATCCCTCTGTTTCTCTCCTCATCACAGCTTCTTCTTTCTTACCTATTGTTAGTCAGCTGGCATGCTGAGCACCAGCAGCCTACCACGATTACTCACTGGTACCTTTAGCACAGGAAGGCCCTTCAGTTTTCATTCTGATGTGTGCAACTTATCTTCTTTTTGCTTCTTCTGCTTCTCTTCCTGAATGTTGTGCACTAAACAGAACAGCTGCTCCATTAATGTGAGTGTGCAGTGATAGAAGCTTTATCAATGAGCGGCTCATTTGTGCTCGGCTTTCAATTACGCAAGCTTGTTGTTGATGACTAATTTTTCTATTTCTGTTCTCCCTGTACATTTTGTTGCATTCTTTCTTGCCCATTCTGTCTTCATTTCTTTTGCTTTCTCTGTCTCCAAGGTAACATTAAGAACACAGAGCCGCTGGATTCAAAGCGTCAGCATGTTCACACCTTCTGGGTGACCGCCTTCGATTGTGGGAAGAACCGTGCTCAGGCTGACGCTCAGGTTGTTGTCACGGTCAAGCCGTCCTGCAAACCCGGATGGATTGGTAATCATGTCATATGTCCTGATTATCATTCTTTGATAACTGTTGCAAGGCATTAGAGACGTGTGTTAGTCATATGATTTGTTGGTTTTTGGTTGAAACCCTCACCGAGTTGGAATATGTGTGGGCTGCTGCTTGGATCAGGCACCATTGTATCAAGAGCTGAGTTTTAAAGAGGTGGTGCCAAAACTAAGTAATATCAAGGGAGACAATTAATTAAATTGTGACAATATATTTATAGAATCCAACATAGTGCCACTACACTGACAGAAGATTTCCAAGAAGCATGAGCTGGCACTGTTTAATGACAGACTTTCTGGTTTGTGGATCTGACATGTTTCTTTTTTTATTTTTTTATTTTTTATTTTTTTACTTTAATCTCATGTAGTGCAGTTCAATACAGATTCATACTATCTATCCATCTATCCGTCTATCCGTCTATTCGTCTGTCTATCTATCTATCTGTCTGTCTGTCTGTCCAGTACATTGACACAGAGACCTCTCAGTTGATGATTACATCTATCCGTCTATCCGTCTATTCGTCTGTCTATCTATCTATCTGTCTGTCTGTCTGTCCAGTACATCGACACAGAGACCTCTCAGTTGATGATTATATGCAGAATGAGTGGAAGAGAAAAGAAGTGTTAATTATAAGACAATGTATGACAAGTAGTTTGAGAGAGTAAAATGGAATGAATAATTGTACTGCATTAACATGACCATCACAGTCCACCTCTTTATAAATCTGATATTTGGAGCCCTCATCTGTGCTATTTGCTCCATCTGCTAAAGGTCCCATATTGTTGTAATTATAGGATGGACCAAGCGAGTAGAGTACACTCCCGGGTCAGGTAGTGTACCCCTGTTCCCCAGCTTGCATTTGGAAACCTGTGAGGAGACTGTGTGGAACATCCAGGCCACCGTAGAGCTCCAGACCGGCCACATTGGGAAAGGCTGTGACAGAGACAGCTACTCTGACAGATCTGTGCGCCGGCTATGTGGTGAGTTCTGGTTTAAACCCGAAAACATGAATAATCAGAGGGCAGGATCCTTTTTTATAATCTCTAATGTCTTGTTCCTTCATCACTGTGGTGCCTGATTTGGTTGTCTCAGCACTATCAGGTGACCACTTCACCCTGCAGCTGTGGATGCGAAGGGGTGGTGCCAACATCCAGCCTGCGACCACTCAGACCAGAGGAAATCGCAAGGAGGAAGAGACCATCGTGTGCAGCACCGTCAAGAACGGTGTGTTATATTATAAAGTCATGGCTTTAATGGGATTTGAAATAATTATAAGTGGGCAATCTTGGTGAGTAAAGCAAAAAGAAAAAAGTTACTTCTGCTTCTAACCTTTGTAAGGTTACTCACCCAAATCTCCAGAGCTGCAGGGAAACTCATGCCTGGTAAAAAGAATAAGCTAAACTGTTTATGGCTTCGACCACGACTATCAAGGTGCCCTTGAGAGAAGCACTTAACCCCCAGCTGCTCTATGTGAGCAGTACAGTGCATAGCAGAAGAACAGTAAAACACTGTAAGTGCACCGTGTAGAATATTGTGTTTATGTGGGCATTGTTGAAAAGCAGCATGTTCAGTAACTGTCTTGTGTAAACAAAGCAATGACATTCACAAAACAGAAATTAAAATCTATAATGAATTCACTACACATTTCCTTTTCTTACTGTTTTTATTCTCTGAAGTTTTGACAAGGCTGTGCTAACCCAGCAATTATTTCCTGTTTCTCTCCTTTCGCTGCTCCACAGATGACACCTTTTCCCACTACTCTCTCTCCGTCCACGGCTGCCGCCTCTCTCTCTTCTACTGGCCTGATGTCTCAGCCGCACGGCCCGTCAAGTTCTTGTGGAAACTGGAGCAGGTACTGAGGGAACAGCAAGGCTTTCTCACTTTCTTCTGTATTTCTATTTTTGTATTTGTACCTTGAAATTAGACTGATATGGAGGAAATGCAACAGTTGTGTCATGCCAAACATTTCACATAAACCACACAGGACTACAAAACACTGCTGTTTTATGAAACGTCTTTCAGTAATACATATGCAAAAACAAAAAATAACATTAGTTACAACATTATAAGGAGCTCTGCATACTTTCAACTAGCATATTAATATATACAATTTTTCAATGAACTCTACACTATAAATAATTTCTACAAGCTGCAGATTTATCCTAATACAAATATTTTGTTCTCATCCCCCAATAATTGGTTAATTTAAATGTTTTTTTAATGCGAACAGCCAACTCTGTCTTTGTGCACGGTTCATATTTACAACATCAGTGTCTAAACAAAATTTTGTGCAATAAAAAGCACAATAGAAAAAAATGGAACAAATTTTCTGTATCACTCAAACAGCACATGGAACAGTGGATACTCTGAACACTTCTTCTTCAGGATTGACATACTATCCAGTTTCAACACTAAGTAGTAAAATACATCTTCCAATATAAAATATACACAACAAGGTTGCTAGCATGTTAATATTTTATCAGCAGTGCATGCATCATAGGACATGAAAAACAGAAGACCTCCTAGTTAAACCTTCTAAATGTTCATGTGGTATACTTGCATATCTCCATGCACGGGGTGGGGTGGGGGCTGGAAGATGTATGTTTTGTTTTTGACTGAGGCCACTAGTCCCAGCATAGGCCTCACTAGACCCCTTTTACTGGGGTACGTGCCCCAGTAAAAGTGTACGTTCGAGTTTTAACACACTCCTGTATTTGGAAGATTAATTTAGATTAATAATAATGGGAAAATATATGATTTGTTGTTCTAATCCTGAATGTCAAAGCAGCAGTGGTTAGGGTTCGTACATCATGGTGTGCATCATGCACGTTGTAGCTGGAGCACTGCAGTGCGCACGCAGCACTCCGTGTATTGTACTCAAAATAAAGGAATAATAAAGAAAGGAATGGACTGAGGAATGTGATGGGGACAAATTTAAGTTTTTGAATAATACCAATGATCTTATTTTGACTCAGACACTACTGACTCCTGTAGATCGACATAAGGAAATTCTTTAGAGGAGGTTGAGACAGGGATGAAGTTCAGGGAGATGAGGGTGAGAGAGGTGAGACCTGGCTGTAGTTGGTAAACAAGTAACGTTAGTTTAGTTAACTAATATGTAACCAGATGCAGATGTTGAATGGATTAGAGCCCAGTACATCAACTCTATTTATTAGTTTAAGAATGCATAATACATCACATGTAGTAGTCTGTGTTAACGTCAGACTATTCATTTAATAAATAGCCTATATAACATATTTGATATTCTTGTCACACAGTCAGCATATTGTTTGTTTTATACATTTTTAATACACTGGTGAACCTGAGGCAGGAAAGGAGGAGGAAGCTGTTTGTGTCCATGGAGACAGATGTGTGACCACCAGCCATTATTGCCACTACTATTTTGAATGTGGCCTTATGAGTTAAAAAATAAAAATAAAAAAGAATGATTGCGTTTTTCTTTAGATTCATTTATGAGAGCTTAATTCAACAAATCAAACCAGGGCTGCTTCACAGTTACTTTAGTTGTTATTGTAAAATGTAAAAGAATGCAAAGAAATGTTCAGTACAGGGCCAGACCTTTACACCATAAATCATGTTGAGAATGTTCTTAATGTATGTTGAAATAGTGGCTTTCCTGAAGATTAATACCTTTATATTTTTACCTTTACCAGTAGTTGTTATAGTAGCAGCAGGCAGTGGAATAGTGGGGTAAAAGCAAGGGAGGTTAATATAGCACAATGTATAGCACATTTCATTTATGCAGTAAACATTCTTGGAAAAAAATGTGTGATTTGAGTAATGGGGGCCCAGTGCCCCAGTAGAGCTTATGTCTAGAAATGCCCCTGAGTCCCAGGCAGATTGAAGGATCATGGATTAAAGGTTGCTGGGCTGATACAGAGAAGATTTGTCAAATCCCTCTGTCTGAACCACAACATCTTATTACCCCAGTCTCTCTTTTTTGCCCCTCTGTATATTTTAATTGTCTTCTTTGTGTTCCTTCTGTTTTAACCGTCTCTATAGAATGAAAGCTGGAACAGATGTGTATGGGAATTTACACTGATGAGACATTCACCAGTGGGGGAAAATAAATGAGTGCATTTACTCAAGCACTATACTTAAATGCAAAATTGAGATGCTTGTACTTTTAAGATTTTACACTGATAAAGATTAAACTAGTGGTACCCAATCTTTTTGTGTTCTGACACCTTGAGATGTCTTGGGGTTTTTGTCACATTTACTAGCGGTTCTACCAAATTGATATTTCCCCTCTAAACTTCTAAGAAGAGGTAAAAAGAAGAATCCAATCATAAACAAAAACAAGGATCCATTTTTATGCATAGTTTTGATATTTTAAGTACATTTTACTGCTAATCCTTTAAGTTAAAGCTACAGTATGTAATTTATTGGAAATATTTTTGTTGTAGAAATCTGCTCCAAAACTTGTCTTAATGTGGAGAGGTGCTGTCGAAGCCTCCTGTGACCCAGACTCATTGAACAGCAGATATTAGCTTTTAAAAGGTTTTGAGCAGGACTGACCTCTCTAACCAATCAGAGATTTTCATTTCAGTAAGTTTTGGTGCATTCTCACTTCTTGTAATTTCTTAATGACAAATATCTGAAGAGCGAGGCAGAGCGTGGAACAGGGAGAGGGAGCGCTGGGCGGAGCAGAGTGGATTGATTTGGAGTTTCATACTATTGTTAGCTTAAGTTATATGCTGTAGCTTTATGTAGGATGGTGAATGCAGGACATTTACTTGTAATAAAGTATTTGTTGAATCATTTACAAACTTCTTTCACCACTGATATTAAGAAACCAACAAATGTCCAATCAATATCTTTCCAATTTATGTGTCTTACAGGTGTGTGACAGTGAGTGGCATCATCTTTCACTCAGTGTTCAGTTCCCCTCAGTGACCCTCTACGTGGATGGTGTGACCTTTGACCCCGCCCTCATCCATGACAACGGAGCCATCCCTAACCCTGCCCCCCGCCAGAGGATGTTCATCGGCGCCTGCTGGGGTAATGCACTGAAATTTATTCTCAGTGAATCCACGGCTGGTAAACATTTTACTCCAGCTTACTGATGGATTCTGACAGAAATAAATTCAAACCATTTTTTTTTTGCATAAATGCCAAGAGCAGCAATTGTGCGTTTTGCTTCCTCCTTTGCATTCTCCTATTATCGAAATGTCATTTAAATCATACATCATTAAAGATAGCAGGCTACCTTTTTTGGCACAAGCACCAGCAAATGACAAACCCGGATAAGTCATCTCAGGATGATCTGCAGGGACATTTTGCACTGTTCACTCACTCATTTCGCTCTGTTTTAATTTGGTTGATGCAGTTTGTCTTTGAGGACTAATAATATAACTGACTTATCAATTATTCAGGACAGCAGAGCAACACAAGGTCCAGACAGCTATCAGCCACTTTACACCCGAACTACTGGTTAAAATGGGAAACTGGCTGCCAATTAGCAGTGAAATACACACGCACGCACGCACGCACGCACACACACACACACACACACACACACTTTCAGTGTCTCACCCACAGCGGAGGTCGCTCTGCTGCCTGCAGCAGCTGCTGCTAGATAATGAGGAGATTTTGAAATATCGTCTGCAGATTTTCCTCTCACATTGTTTCCCTCATGCCTGCTTGTATTTTGTGTTTCATTCTTCATGTCAGTCACTGGCACCTTCAGTCTTTCTGTTTTCATACCTTACTAAGTATCTTTCTGTTTTCGCCTTTTCTATTCCCCTTGTCCCCTCTCTGGTTTTCCCTGCAGAGCCCGAAGAGAAGCAGAGGGAGATAGTAAACAACACCATCCCAGAGGGCAAAGACTCAGGTGACCTTGTTTTTACTTTGCTATCAACATGAGAGTGTTCAGAACCATTTTTGTCTGTCACTGTTGGGGTTTTATTGTTTGGGACAGTATGTAAAGTCTAAATTAAAACTGAAAGTAGTGATTTGTAAATTATCTGTGTCCTGTATTAAAAGTTGGGACAGTGAAGCATTTACCATGGTGTGATGTTGCCGTTCCATTTCACAACACTTAAAAGACGTTTAGGGACTAAGAACACCAAGTGATTAAATGTGTCAGGTGTAATTTTGTCCCATTCCTCCTGCAAACAAGTCTTAAGGTGCATGACAGTCCTGGGTCTTCCTTGACACAATTTGTGTTTCAAAATGCGCCATTATTATATGTGTTCACATTGAGTTGTCTCTGGGCTTTAGTGAAGTATGTGGGCGGTTACCACGGCCTGTTGTCGGGGGTGACGGTCCGTCCTGGCAGCGTGGAGCCTCACAGTGTGGTGGAGTGTCTGTACGCCTGCAGGGAGGGGCTGGACTTCGGAGATCTTGAGACTCTGGGCTCTGGCATGAAGGTGACGTCTGAAGGAACTGTGTTATACCATATTATAGAAAGAGGGGATACCCAAAGGAACACTTCTACATTGGATATGAAAATGCATTTCATATGTATTTTATTTGGATTTGTAAAACGTATAGCTTTTAATGTTCACAGTTAAAACACAGCTCTTCTCTGCTGTCTTACCAGAGGCTGCTTCTTGTTTCCTTATATAAAGTCCACTGATCAATCAGTGTGATAGACATCAATAGATTAAAAAAAGTTAAAGCTACAGTGTGTATCTTAAGGTAGCTCTAGCATGAAACTCTAAATCAGTCCACTCTGCTCCGCCCAGCACTGCCTCCCCGTGCTCCACTACAGTACAATAAGCTACACTCCCTCCTGCTCTGCCCAGCTCTTCAGATATTTGTCATTATAAAATTGCAGGAAGTAAGAATGCAAAAAAAACTTACTGATCAAGCAGAAATAATTTAAAATCTCTGATTGGTTAGAGAGGTCAGTCCCACTCAAACCTATCTCTGCACTGCTGCAGTGGTGTTCACTGAGTCAGAACTTCTCCCATAACTTACTGTAGATTAAATGCAAATGCAAATTGTTGTTTACATTTGTCAGATATGTTTCTAACCTTTTTTAGTGTTGGTTTGTATAGCTATGTGCAGTTGAGGCATTTACAAAAGTAATATACTACTGTATATACTAACATTGTTTTTTCTTTGCTCTGATATCTTTTTAAAAGATTGTTAACTTGCATTGAATTAGAGTCAAGAATGTGTAAACTGTAGTGACAAATTTTGTCTTGAGTCTCGGTCACATGATGCAAAAAAAGTGAACAAGTTTGTCTTGTGACTTTGCAGGTTCATGTGAACCCCAGCCAGTCAGTATTAGTGCTGGAGGGAGATGATATTGAGAGCTTTAACCGTGCGGTGCAGCAGGTCACCTACAGAAACTCTCTACGCTTCGCCACCCCCGGAGTCCGACCCCTCAAACTTACTACCTCACTCAGGTATAAAACACACACCCAGATAGAGATTAATCATAGAAGAAGTGGCGTCAGTGGATGTGAATAGACCCAAATGTAATGTACCTGCAAGTCTATAGTCACAAACATAAACTATCCTAACTGTCCTACAGAACATCCATATGATTTTGAGTGGAAAGAACACATCAGATGTCTGTCTGTTGTTCAAAAGTAACTGTAAATGCAGGAGACAAGCCAAACTGAGGGAAAGTGATGCCACAAATGAAAATGATCACACTGAAATGCTCTGAACATCACAAATGAGAGTTGAATTTTCCTCAGATGAAGCGTCACTCTCTGGTCTTTGCTGCTGCTCACGTCTTTGACATTGAGCTGATCAAATGTGGACCTTGCCTCAGCTGCGATAAGGATTGGTGTGGCATGAAAGAAATGATTATATGGAGAATATGCCAATGCAAGAGATAACAAGGAATATCTTATCTCTTTGCTCATTCAGCAGCCAAGTAACGTTTGAATTGGTTTCACTTTAACTGGATTTTAAGTAACTGAAGTTGTTGAGGGATTAAATTTAGGAAATGTTTCACTGATTTACAGAGTCGTTTGTGGCTAATATCATTTATATTTTTCTTAAACTATTCATAATTTTGATTATTTTTCTACTATTGTAACCTTTCTAGCTGTTTTATTTAGATTTTCAACATTGTCTTATATTGCAGGATTAAACACAAGTTATATATTTTATTTTTACCTCTGATACTGTGGTTGCAATGCCCAACACAAAGATTATCCCACACAGGTTCATTGCTCATCGCGCTGAATCCCCTGGCTGTAAAGTAAAAAGCACACAAACTCTGTTTCTGGATCACTGCTCAGCTATGCTTAACTACTGTAAACTGGCTCTCTACCTTTAGCAGTCACTTTCAGATGATAAAATATTGATTCACCTTGGGGTGCACAGCCCAGCACATACTGTATACTATGTAGTATAAAGTGTATTTATACTAAAACTAGCAGCATGCCCACAAATCAAACCTCATCAGACACTTTGCGGATATAACTGTTGTTTTTGTTGCCTGTTTATACGTCTAAAAAGATTATCACGCCACAAGTCAATGTTGGTGGATATTTTAAAGATCCCAGTGATTCAAGGTCATGAACAGATTTATTTTTTCTTTAGAGTGTACCAGAGTGTTTTTTTTCTTTTGTGTGTTTTATTGTGTGTGTGAAGATTAGACTGATTTGAGGCCAGAAGTTACCCAGATGGCTGAACAGCAGGCCCTTCTGGAGAGGCCAATAAAAACAGCTGTTCACTCTGATAGTGGAAATGTAGTGCGCACACACACACACACACACACACACACACACACACTGCGTAATCCCCTTGTAAATATGATGCTGAATTGTAGTGCATATGAATAAATATATGCAATCAGCCAGTCATCAATCAGATTTTCACTCCCTTTCTGGCAGGGGCATTTAAATTGTAACAACAAAACTACTGTGATTTGACTTTTGCTGTTTTCTGTCACAACAGACCAAAGTTAATTGTGGTCATGGTGGAATTAGGGAAGTGGACTGTGAAAACACTGCACTAGATTTAGGCCTTTTGGTGCATAATCAGTGTGCCAATTTTCCTGATATTACTCAGTCACTATATTGTTAATATGAGAGGAAGACTGAGAGTTTACTGCCATGCTAGTGGTTCTTTGAGTTAAATGCTAACATTACCCTGCTACCCTGTTCACACAGACAAGAGTGATGATGTTTAGCAGGTACAGTGTTAATGTTTAATATGTTAGTATTAACATTTTCTTCTTATCACTAACATAAAGTATAGCTACAGCTAATGAGAATATCGTTAGTTTCGCAGCTATTTGGGTGGTTGGGTCTGAGGGCTATGCATTTGGATTCCACTAGCAAAATAGACCCTATAGATCAGTGGATGATTGAGTTGCATCATTGGTTATGCAGGAAAATGAAGGTGTAGAATAATAAAAGGCATTATCTGTGGTTTTTGCTGTCCATTGTGAGTGTTGACCTTGTTGTAAAAGTACAATGCTAAAATGGTGGAGTACTGTGTTAAGGAATCACAAAAGTTGCTATGAGAGACTCGAGGTGGTGCTGGAGGAAAAGTTAGAAGGCTTTGTGCTTTAACCACTGTGAATCTCTGTACCAAATTTCATGACGGTTCATCCAATCTGGTTCAAAGCAGTGGACCAACTGACCCTGCCATTCTTAGAACCACATTGCTAGCATGGATAAATAAATTGCAAATTCTGCACTGGCATACACTTAAAATAGCTGAGTTATCTAACCAGTGATATCCTTTCCATACACACTTCATTCCTCTATGCCAGATGTTTCAATGAGGAGAGCTGTCTGTCCCTCAAGCAGCTGGAGGGCTATCTGGTGGTTCTCCAGCCTGATGCCCCTCAGATCTCTCTGTCTGGGGTCGGCCCTCATCTGGCTCGTCCTGCCCCTGAGTTTGAAGGTCCCCGCGGTGTACCTCTTTTCCCCGAGCTCCGGATTGTTTGTTCCCTCTCTCACGCCGTCAACACTGCTGCACAGGGGATGGAGGGTGGAGGTGAGTCAGACATGAAACGGCTCCAGTTGCTGCAGATTTAAAGGGTTTCTGTTTACTGTTTGTCTTTATATCTGTTTATGGAAATAAAAGTAATTCAGAAGAGATGGCTCCTCTCTGCACCTGTTTGTGTCTTAAATTTGGTTAATGATGTTGTCTTTGTCTGCTGCCTTTTTCATCACCTCCTAGCGCTCATGTCTGACGCTGTGGCTCACACTCTGGACGGCTGTGAGGTTCAACCGCTGGGCGAAGAGCTAAACCCAGAGAGGGAGGAGCTTCTGGTGGACATGGATGTTGTGCGAGAGAGGGGACTGGAAATCATCAATACTACAGCTTATATTGCAATCACAGGTACTTCTATTTGTTTATGTTTTTTGTTCCTTTGTTTTAAGCAGTTTTTTCTTTTGTCTTTTTTTTTAAATCTTTTTTAAGAATTTCAAAATAGGCATGAATAATGGCTTACAGATAAACAACATAAAACAGATAACAGAATGTCAGAAAATAAGCTGTTATTGTCTTGTGATGCCCCACAAGTATTTCGCTCTGTAACATTAAATATTCATTCTTAAGTGAGCGTCAATAAAAGTTAAATGTTCATAAAATATCACTGTTAGGGTTTTTAAAAGAGTTTATTAGTCAAAAACCTAGGTAATCTGCTTTATCTGGACTGTGTGAGTGTGGTTTTATCAGAACTGATTAACGGACAGAAGCAAAAACAGCCCCACATCTGTTTTCACGTTTGGATTCACATATTGACAAATCTTGATTGGTGAATAGAAATAGGTGACATTGCTTTTAACTGAGTCCTGCTCAGTTAAGATCTGTGAGAACAGTGAAATCAAACAAAATACAGAAAACTCTCGTGGACAAAACAAAACAGTTTGGGATGAAAATATGTTGTTCATGTAAGCCTCCATAGCTCACAGTAAAAAAGAAAATGCAGTATGTTTTGAGGGCCTTTAAAACGTCTAATTAAAAAATTTTTGGACTTAGTTCTTTGAAGTTCAGCATAATAGATTCCCATGACCTAAAAATCCATCCACTTCCAGCTGTCAGTAAGTAGCTACAGACTGCTTTTCGTTCCTTCTCTTCCCCTCCGCAGCCAGTGTCACAGTATTGACTCCCTGTCTACCTTTTTGTCCTGTCCTCCGTTCGCTCCCTCCAGGTGCTGAATCCATATCTGTGTATGAGGATGTCCTTCGCTCAGTCAGCTACCGACTGGCCAAAGGCTCGGCCCGCTTTGAAAGGCGGTTCCGCCTGTCCTGCTCTGAGATGAATGGCAGATACACCAGCAATGAGTTGACTCTGGAGGTGAGGAGAAACATCACTCACATTACATCTGTAGTACTAATGTAAAGATAGAAATCCTTTAGTGGAGTTCATTCTTAGCCTTTAGGAAGAGTGTTTGTATGAAAGATAAACATTAGACCTTAGATTATTCAGTAATGTATGTTGTTATGAAAAGAACCATTACAATTGCATTGACATAACACTGCTATGAGGTGACACTGCGGTTTAGCCACATAGCCAGTGAGGGCATTTCTTCTTCACTGTTTTTATTCCCTGTAGGTGAACTTCCTCCACTCTCTGGACAGCCTGTACCATCCGTCCCATCTACTGGCCTCCCAGCAGCAGTTTCTTCATCCATCCCATCATGCTGGGGAGCTGAGTGGACACACCCTGCCTAATCCACACCGCAACTCAGGTGACTTGTCCTTTACTTTTCTGTAAATTAACAGAACCTTTTTTAGAACAGAGGTCACCATGTGCTTCACAAGAAAATGCAAAAGAATCACAGACATACAAATGCAATATAAGAGTGATGGATAAAAGTAATAATTAAAATAGAATTTAAAATAATTAGGATGAAGGCAGACCGTGCCTTTGAGGTTATGTATCTTTTTCCTTCTGTGCTTAAAATCTATGGACACTGCGGGCTCATTTAAAAATGAAGTTAAGACATAGTACTTCCATTTTAAGCTTAGAGTGAGGAACAACTAACAACCCCTAATGAAAAGACCTCAGAAACCTGCAGGAGAGGCACCCGATCAGACCTCTAATGTTGGCAGGTGCCCGACCATGCAGAGCAACAGTAATTGCAAGACTGAGCCAGTGTAAATAACGGTCTGTGCACAGTGAAACCAATTATTGTGTAATGGGTTTTCTATGCCCCTCTTGTTGTGAAATAGCTTCCCAGTGACAGGATTATCTGGTTGAATCACAATGCCCACACAGTCTAACACTCTGGGATTTAGATCTGCTTGTAAAGAGATGGTTACTTTGGATAACTGTGGTTGTTCATATTTTCATAGCCAGAGGCAGGAAAACCTTTGAGCAAAGCTGCTAATTAACTCATAGGCTTTCAATGATTGGGGTCACCATACACATTTGGCAAAGTCCAAACATACAGTGCCTATAAAAAGTATTCACCCCCCTGGATGTTTTACCCTTTTATTGATGTTATAAATCAATCATGGTCAATATAATTTGGCTTTTTTTTTTGACATTTGTGAGTTTGACCACTCATTATATGAAGGAAATTTGTGAAAAATTTTACAAAACGATGTGATGTATTTTTAATAGCACTAATACAGTAAGTTGGATGGCGATGGAGTACTTTGGCACAAAGGACTGAGCTACATCAAGCTTTGGCTACAGAGACGGTACTTGTTAGTAGGCTAAATTCATTATTGGATTTCTTAACCATAAGAAAAAATAATGAATATCACCATATTTATCCCCTGACTCTGGATTAGTTTTTATATGTGATTACTAGTAGGTTTTTTTGTTTGTTTTTTTTCAGTGGTGCCAGGAGCAGCCACCGTCATCATAATGGTATGTGTGGGTTTCCTGGTTGTCATGGTAATCCTGGGTGTTTTCCGAATTCGCTCCATCCATCGCCGTGATGAAGGTGCCAGGGGTGCAGCTAAGGAAGGCAGCAGCCAATGGGATGACTCTGCCCTCACCATCATCGTCAACCCAATGGAGGTAAAAGCCAAATCAGTATCTGATCTCAGTTGATGTAATCATAATAAATGATCTCACCTATTGGGCTCATGCATCCATTCAAACCTTGGTCTTCACAGTCCTATGAGTCTCGCATGGGTGTCTCTGCTGACACCGAGGGGGAAGGGGAGGAAGATGAGGAGGTAGCAGAGTCACCCGATGACGCAAGCGACGACCAGCGAATCATCATCAAGAAGGAGGGGAAAGACGCCAACACTCGTCGCTACTGAACCACATGTATCTCTGCACCGGTCCTCATGGAAACCACAAGTCACACGCACCAACACTTTTAATATCAACGACTGCTGACACCACTAGTATAAGGAATGTATGCTTACAGACACTACGCACAACACAGCCACTGTAATACTCTTGACACTCAATGCCATATGTGACCTATAGCCAAGTATGGGCAGTTGTTCTCTACCTAAATGTTCAATGGCACAATGTACACAGTAAATGTAATTTAACCACCTCAGCAAACCCCACCGAAATTGTATGTGGTGCACCAGTTCTAAATCACACGATGGTCATGTTTCTGTATAGTGTAACACTGGTTGAATGAGAATTCTTTGTTTTTAAAAAATAAGATTGTATTCTATCATTTGTTATTGAACACAGAATGAATCTTTACAACATGAAAACCAGAACAATACGCAACATACAGCCCTTGATCAGAAGGCAAAGACACAAGCCTTGTGACATTTCGCCGGACTCCCTTAATAAAATGACTCGAGAAGTCTGTGCACAAGCTCTTTTCCCCCTCTTTGCATCTTCTCTCGACACATTCCTCGACCGCTGTGCACAGAGTGAAGACAGTGAGGTCAGAGATTCACTTTCCAATGTAATCATAAAAACATAAAATACTTGCAGGTGTCTTTGTTTTTCATATTGTGACTACTTTAACGTTTCAGCTCCCGGCTATGTTTTATGTGGGGCTGATGATAGGATTTGAGGACTATAAAATATCTCTTATAAAATACCTTATCCTTTACACGAGTTCCTGCAGTACTCCAACAATTCAGAGTAAAAGTCAATACGTTACTGTGGTTTCTGGTTCAAACTGGAGTCTTTGCAAAGTTTCAGCTTATGCCACTAAATGACAAAACACCACCATCTACAATAAAAGTGGTACAACCTGACCCCTGTGCCCCCTCCCAGTGACCACTGGAATGTCTCTAAATGATGCTCACTACACACTGCTCTTACAATAACTGCAAGACATGAGATGCAAACACACACAAAGACAGACATATGCACTTCATAATGCTACCCCTGCTGTTTCCAGAATGTCAGCTCAGCTTGGGCAGTTTTGATTGTATTGATTGTAATGAATTTTCTGTACATACAATGATGAATATTATGATATTATTGTTATTACTATTATTGCTGCAGCCGTCTTTTTCTGCACATTTTAAGAGGGAGCTGCTTATGATTTACTGTTTTACATTTCAGTAATCACCTTTACAGCATCAGATAACAGTCCATCGATAACAGTAATAATAGTAGTGATAAGGATGAAAATCCCTGGCTTGATGAGTGTCTCTTAATTTGTGTGTAATATTGTTGTAATTTAAGAACTTGTCAATATCTGAATCACAGAAAAGGAGGGCACATTGTTGTGATACTTCTCACTCATTTTATCTTCCAGGTAAATCTTTTCATATTTCAAAACTTTTTGAAATTATTTTTCTATTTTCTTTCCACTCCATCCGATATTTTGGTTCAGGGAATGTACAACTGTGTGCTTCTCCTTACCTCTCCCTCCCCTCCCACCTTCCTGTCTTTGCCCTTCACCTCTCCCTCACACTCCCTCTGTGTCTCTTGCTGTCCGTCTGTGTAGCCTATCAATGTGCAGTGCTAAATCTGTCAGTAAATGAAGCCTGTCATTTTTGAGTGTAAAGTTAAGAATGAATAAACATTACATTGATTAATAACATATTATTATGATATTACTATTGGAACATTACCTGTAATTATTGATGCAATGATAAAATGGATTATGCCTATTAATTGTTATTGATAACTGTCAGAAAACTATTACAAAATTCATAATAAAACACTATATGACGTCTCCATGAGAACGATTGCTTGTATGGATCCCACTAAAACAGTTCTATAACATTGTAAAACAGTATCATAAATGTGAGGTCATACATCAAAAGTAACCTAGGAGAATGATTTTTATACAAATGTAATATGATATTAGAATTAATAAATTCAACAATTCTATTGTCTCGGACAACATGGGATACCAGATTACTATAACTACAGTATTGGAATGCAACTAAGTATATTCCTTCAATAATAAAGTGGTGTTTACATATTAATGCATCCCCAGTAACAATCCATTATTATACTTTCAGTAGTGAAAGTAGTATTTAAATCTTTTATTTAAGTAAAATGAAAAGTAGCTACTACATCAATTAAAAGTAAGAAGTACCGCATTCACAAAATACACAAAATTAAAGGTTCATAGGTATTACCAGCAAAAAAAGAGTAGCAAAAGTAAAGGCATTATGGAGTAATACAGGTTCATGACTATATCTGCTAATTGATAAGCATAAGCATGTAAGTAGCACTTTAATGTGGCAGCTGGTCAAGGTGAAACAATTTCTATAAACTTTATGTTGGGCATTTTTATGAATAACATTGTATAGCATTTTTATGTATAACATTGCATCATTTTTTAAAATCTTAACTTATCATAACTAGTAATAGTTCTCAAAGAAAAGTAGTGTAGTAGTAGGAGAATAAAGTAAAGTACAAATTGCAATATGGAGGAAGTAGCCAGAATATTTACTGTTTCAAAATAATCATTATAAGTAGAAGTGCTGCAAATAAAATCCTATTTAAGCAAAAGTACAGAAGTATTATCAAAAATGTGGTATCAAAGCAAAAGTCCTTTTATGCAGTAAAATGGCCCCTGTGAAGAGCATATATACAGTATATTATTTTATACTGTGGGGCTAATACTTATTCAACAATGTGTAAGCAACATTTTACTGTTGCAGATAATCAATGTGGAAATAGTTTAAACTATATTATTCAATTTAGTTTAATGGTTCCCAACCTAGTGGTCACCCTCTGCAGAGAAGTCTGCTGCACAAATTTATATTCATTTTATAGACTTATTTCTAATGTTTGCTTTTGTTGTGAAATTATGGTTAAATCACAGGAGAAATTTAGTAAAAATGTTAACATTGATAGTGTGCCCCAAATACACATCACTTTTTAAAAAATAATGTTACCATAGTGGAATTAGGAAAGCGTGGGCCCCTGGGAACAGGCATGTTAAATGCCCCCACCCCTCCTACATTGAAGTCCCAGACATAAGAAAACTACATAACACGACTTTTTTTTTGTCATTCTCTGCCTTTCTGTAGTCATTTTGTTTGTGTTTTTGTTATTTGTGACTGTGGTTGTTGCATCTCTTTGTGGTTAATCGGCTTTTATTTGTAGTCATTTGCAGTATTTTGTGGCTCTGTGTCTTTTTGTGGTCATTCTGCATTTATTTGTAGTCATTTTGTGTTTTTGTACTATTTTTGTGCTCCTTCCTAGCTGTTTTGTGTTTTTGTGGCCATACTGCATCTCTTTTCAATCACCCTGGATCATTTTACATGTCTTTGCATTAGCTTTGTGTCTCTTTGTGAGTTTTTTGTGAATTTTAAAGTCATTTGATTGACTTTACAACAAGATGTTAACAGACAGCCTCAAACAAATGCTCACACCCAGGGGCCCCTAAACCCTTAGGCCCATTCAGCAACAAATCTATGCTGGTCGCATGTACATAAGTATTAACAATACCCAATAATGCTTTCATTCTCACAATAGTATGTTTACACAGAAAGTTGCTGTAGACACGACATCGGTAACGGTATTTACTTCGTAGCTACACTTCTGACTTGCTGGACTGTGATCTCCTTTGCAATGTGTGCTTTTTTTTACGTAAAACCTTTAAACAAGGTAAAATTAGCCTGCGCCCATCTCACTAATGTTCTTCCACGTGCGGACATATTCTTACGTAAGCGTGGTTGAGAATACCAATCCGTCGGCGAAGGGTTTTGTGGGTCATGGAGGAGAAAGGTAAATAAACGAAAAGCGCTAAGATCATCTGGACTCAGACGGTTACCGGAGGAAGGTGTGACACGCTAGATGCGGCAGCTTTTGTAACATCAGACTGAGAGGACAGACGGTGGGTTCGGCTACAGCAGCAGCTGTCGGCGGTGAGAGGAACATCATGATACCCGCCTGTTCATGCCTCTTTGCTGCACACTAACTAACCACGGGAATGTTACCTGCACTGGGCCTGCTGTAGCTAGCTGGCATCTCCAGCTAATGCTAGCTAGCGCCATTTCTGAAAGCCGAACAGGTCGTAAATGTTTTATACCGTCTTTGTTTGACTAGCTATTTACTCAGTAGCACACTGCCTACTTAAATGAAAGTGAATGACGTTAATAATAGCGTTTACGAAGCTAATGTTGCGCCTTCGGACTGAAACAACAGTTAGCTTCGGGTAAACCAATGCTATCAATGTAGACCACACTGCTCCCAGTCAGACACATGACAGCAGTTTGACAGGTTGGTTTAAAATACTGGCAGCTGTTTTCAGTTGTGCACATATTAATATTTTACTATGGCAAAAATTTCGAAATTAAAGTGAAATATGTATGAGAGTGCAGAACAAGACAACGTCCATCTACTGTTACTGTATTCGATAGGTTTGCGCCACAGTAGCTTTATCTGTGACTGTGTGTCTTATCTTTGTGTTGGAGAAGCTAAGTGAACCAGGTCATCTCTGGGCCTGGATATATGGCAGTGAGTTGAGCTACATGATTTCCTCATGGATCATATATAATTACTCTCAGGTGTGCATTTAAGGACTAAATCTGAGCCATAAAGATTTTTCTTTTGTTATTGTTTTTTTTTCTGTTGAGAACCAAACAGGACTCAACATCAGTGTAGCAATGATGCTGTGACATGAAACCAAGGCTCAGTAGCATTTATTTATTTATACTACTTCCAAAATGTCACCCAGAGTTTCAGTACAGATACCAAATTTTCAAGTCACTTGTTCTTTACCTTAACTTGAAAATGTAAGCAGGTTTTCCAGCAAAACCCTTGAATTCATGCAACAAAAAAGCCAGAGTTCTTAAATGGTTAATGACAGCTCAACAAAAAGCAAAGTTCTGTTATAAATCAGTCAATAATACACAATTAAATGTGCAAAAGAATGGGACAGCATTCATATGGAAGCTCAGTATATGTGTTAAATAATGTCTACCCATTGTTTTGCCCTTCAGAGCCCCACAACAGGCAGCACAATTTTCCAGACCTAACCTACCCTTACTATGAAATATTTCAGACTTTAAATAGCAGCTTTCAGTAGCTGACTTAGTGCTAAGGACATATTTTGTGGATCAGTGTAGTCTGTGATTTTGACTGTAACAGTATGGTGATATAGCTTTTAATGCTCTCTGTTGTGCATGTTGTAAAGGCTGGAATAAAGATCAAAACTCAAGTCTTCTGAACTTATTAGACTAGCTGAGTGAAATATGCAGTGAATGGATGTGCCTGTCAGACCGCATTATGCACATTATTAATGCTTCACTCTAAGCCAGGATATGACAGAAAAAAACAGATGGAGCTGGAATTTGATTATGTGACATGGGGCTGTCTTAGCTGTGTGAACACATCAAGATTTGTTTGGCCCGTCAGCCCTTAAAGTGAGTAGAAATGCTAAGAATGTTTTTTTTTTTTTTTTTGCATGGATAGCATTACTGAGAAATACCTGCATTATCTGCAAACTTGTTTACTTTTTTTTTGGTGCTTGATTAAAATAAAATTCTGTTTTTCTAGCGGTAGGCCATTGTCTCACATTGTGTTTTGTACAAAAAAAGTATAGATTTCTCAGCTTTACATGTCAACTAATTTTGTTTCTGTTTAATTTGCCATCCTGTCATCTTTACAGCTAATCAAATACTGTGCAGTTTACCTTTGGATGTATCATAATACTGACATTTCCAGTGCTGTTTCACTGTAACTGTGAATAGTCTGATGCTGAAAGACAAAAAGGCCGCTAACATTCTTGAGCACAGACTCAATTTTGTGCAATTATCAAAACAAAAGCTGAGAAATGCATCTGCCTGGTCTCTTCTCAGCTTTCAGGTGGTTTTCTGATTGAGTTTGCCTCATCACTGTGTTGCCATGGCCATGCGGGAGTTGGTGGAAGCAGAATGTGGGGGAGCCAATCCCCTCATGAAGTTGACCGGTCACATGACGAAGGAAGGGGGAGCATGGCGGCACCTTTCAACACCTACAGTGAGTAATTTGTAGACACCCATTAGTAGAGAGAGCTAAATTATTTACTATATATTTCATCCTCATCATAAAACTGCTACTTGATAACAGATGTGGCGCTGGTTGAGGCTGATATTTTATTTTGTACTTTATTTTTCCTCAGATTCCCCCAACTCC